GGTCATAGTCAGCTAGGGCCTGCTCTTGCATCTGTGTGTCCTGGGAAGGACGGGACTTGGGGGGGGCTGCCGTGGGTACAGGGCAGAAAGCGGGGAGGAGGAGGTGGTCCCAGCACGAGCAAGCGTGGCCTGACCTGGGTGGTGGCCTCGGCCATGGTGAGGAGGGCACAGATGCTGACCTGGATGTCTGGGGTGGGCGGCTCTGGGCCATCCCACCCCGGGTTCCTTTTCCTGCTGCCAGAGCCCCTTTGCCTGGGCACATGGACGTTCACACCAGACAGTTGCAGGCTGGGCCTAAGAGGGTGAGTGGGCCCAGCAGATTGCTCTGGGGGCAGCCAGCTCAGGCCTTCTCATACTCCTGTGAGCTTTGCGTCTCTGTCCACATGATCTCAGCGTGGCCTGTGGGGTCAGGGCTTCGGCCCCACATGGCAGCCACACCCGGGGACCCCCACCCCACAGCCCTCGAGCCCTGAGATCCCCGTCGGTTTGTGGCTCTGGGGTCAGGAGCCAGGTCTCTGGGTTAGGATGCCCAGTTCTGCTGTCTGACCGTAGGTGATGGCGTCCCTCATCCTGACCCTCCCCCACAGACCCCGCCCTGCATCCTGAGATCCTTGTGGGGGAGGGGGCATGATGTCCCCTCCCTCCACGGGTCCCAGGCGGCAGGGGAGGGGCCGTGGCAACGTTCATCAGGATGAGAGATGGGATGGGGGGGGTCTGGAGCCTGCTGGACTCTAGAGAAGGGGGTCTGGGTGACCGTCCTCATCTGGAAAGTAGCTGTTATCGCCACTGCTGTCCAGGTGGAGAAACAGGCTAAGAAAATGTGAGAGGTGGGTGGTGGTGTTCAGTTGCTCAGTCCTGTCTGGCTCTTGGCGACCCCATGGACTGCTGCACGCCAGACTTCCCTATCCTTCATCATCTCCCAGAGCTTCCTCAAACTCATGTTCGTTGAATCAGTGATGCCACCCAATTATCTCATCCTCGGTCATCTCCTTCTCCTCCTGCCCTCAGTCTTTCCCAGCCTCAGGGTCTTTTCCAGTGAGTTGGCTCTTCGCATCAGGTGGCCAGAGTATTGGAGCTTCAGCCTCAGCATCAGTCCTTCCAATGAACATTCAGGGTTGATTTCCTTTAGGATGGACTGGTTGGATCTGAGGCTGAAAAGAGGTGAGAGGTGGGTGGTGATCATGAGGAGAACCTGGTGGTCAGGTTCTTGTCCCCAGACTCGTGGAACCAGCAGGTCTGGGTGGGCTGTGGACAGCTGCATAATGCTGAGGATTTGGCTCAGGGGTCCAGGACCACACCATCCTGTGCCACCCAGGCCTCAGGGACCCCCACCCTGTTCCAGGACCCTGGAGACCAGTGTCCCTGGTGATGGACATGGTGTGTCAGTAACCCCATGGCGTGACTGCTGGCGGGGGGCTGGCTGCCCCTGGCGTGTGCTGACTGAGCCTCTCCAGACCTCCCCAGACCCCAGCTCCCCACCTCACAGGGTCCTAGTGCCTTTGGGGGTCACCCTGCTTCCCAGTTGTCTTCCATGCAGGCTAGTTCTGTCTTCCAAGCAGCTCTTGGTGTGCTTTTCTTAACCAGCTGGGAGTCTGGGAACGAGAAGGAACGTGGCGCTAGACACTCCGAAGTGGTTCCGCAGAGCCCAGCCCTGGGTGAGGCCAGCCCCTCAGCCCTGAGCTCCCCAGACGTGGCTGCTTCAGCACCATGGACAGCGGCTGCTGTCCACCTCGCCCTCCTCACCCTCTGGGCTTGTCTTAGGGGTTGTGTGGGGGTGTTTTGCAGCCGTGGGCTGGGAGACCACGGAGCCAGCACCAAGAGTCTTCACGACAAGACTGAGTTCCTGCTCTGCACCGGCTGGGGGAGGCCAGGCCCGTGGGCTTGGCTGCGGGGGTAGGAAGGTGGTCCCCACCGAGGCTGCAGAGACAGAAAGCGGGGGAGTGGGGAGGAGGCTGATGCACGGCTGATGGATGCGAGGAGAGCTTCGAGACGGAGTGTGAGGCCCTCTGTGGGGCAGGGGCAGGGTATAGTACTTGAGGGGGTGCCTGGACGGACTAGGACCCTGCCCTCTCTGCTGTCTTGGTCTCCAGGCCTGGCTCTGGGCCCCTCTTCGAGCCTCTCTGGAAACCCATTTCTCATTGCAAGCCCCCAGCCTGGGTATAGGACAGGCTTCCCCAGGGAGTGTCAGTCCAGGCCCCATCCTGCCCAGGCTGGACAGCAGGGCTCTGTCAGGCCAAGGCCCAGGGGGTCCAGGAGCATGGGTCAGCAGCCTGTCTGCCTTTCTTTCAGCCTCCAGGCCTGGGTAGAACCTTCCTGACCGTGGGGTCTCATGCGAAAGACCCATGCCCCCAGCCCCTTTGTGTGTGACTAGACCTCTTGCCGGGATGGCGCAGCCATCTCTGCCCAGCCACATGTCAACCTGGCTTCCTTGGACCCGCAGTGGAAATTGACTCTGATTTGTAGAATTTGGTTCAAAACCTACAGGATTTTTAATTAAAACCCGGAAAGTCCATCTGTGTAATTAAGCCTCCGGAAGTCGGCGGCTGTGAGATGAGAGTCCGGTTGGCACCACCTGCCGTCAGCTGCCCGCCAAGGCATGATTCGGGGATGGCTGGCCTGGGGGGCTGATGGACCCCCCTCCAGCGGGCTTCCTCTCTGGACTGGGCCAGGGGGACCCTGTGTGTGGAGGGCCCTCCCCGGGCAGGGCGGTTCTGCGTCTCCTGGGTGCACTTTGTACAGGCACGATTTGCAGGACCCCGGGACCTCATCCCTTGCATGGTGTTTAGGTGCGGGTGGGGCGGGTGTATCATAGGATGCTAACCACCAAGGGGTGCGCTTGCAGGGATGGATGGGGGCCATGCTGGCCAGGTATGTCACCCCAGCTACAGGGACTGTTTCCCCGCCGCTCACGTGAGCCTGTGCTCATCAACAGGGTCACTGTGCATGGAAGCTGTCCTGAGCCCCTGGGCAGGCCCCAAGGGTGAGGGAGGCAGGCAGGGCCGGCAGGGTCAGGAGGAAGCTGAGGTCTGTAGTTTGGGAAGGTATCGAGATAGGACTGCAGTCCAGGACCTCGAGCTGGACTGTCTACAACTTGCTGGGGGCCTAGCTTCAGGCACCGGCAGGGGACTGTGACCCCCAGCCCCTGCCCAATAGCCCTTTGTGGGTCCCGGTCCAGACCAGCCTGGGGCTCCAGATGTGCATGACAGTCTCGAGCGCCAAGGTCCTCAGCTCTGCCCTACACCAGCTCCAGGGTCTGGAGTGACCTCAAAGTGAGAGTGGGTGCAGGCCTGGGAGGAATCGGGCAGCCGGCTGGTGACATCAGACTGAAAAGAGGTATGTGATGATGGTGGAAGATGGGAAGGGCTGAGGGCTCAGGGTGGGCACCTGGCTGCTCCTGGAGCAGGACATGCGCCACTTGGGAGGCGGGGCCGACCAGGCAGAAGCCCTTGGGGGAGAGGAAGAGCTGGGAGAAGTGGGGCAGGGAAGGGGAGTCTCAGGAGCCAGGCGCACAATCCCCACACCCCCACTGCCGGGGACGGGCAAACCGAGGGTGCAGGCTGCTCTGTGCTGCCTCCCTGCAGAGGTAGGGGTGGGAAGCCTGCAAGACCAAGGGTTCAGCCAGGTCTAGGGAGCATCTGACCATCATCCACCAGGCCCAGAGCTGCCTGCTCACGGTGGCCCGCTGTCGGGGACCTGGGGGCCCGGCCCTCTGAGCTATCTTAGCGGGATGCTGATTTCTGTTTTTCTGCAGCCAGATCACAGCAGAGGCACTTGTTACTGCTGAACCCATTAAGTGTAATTATGGCGCTCTCGGCGGGAACGGGTAATTACATTGGTGGCCCAGTGCCACGCTGCGAGGGGCGCTGGGGACCAGGGGCTTCAGAGAGGCCACTGTTGGCCCTGTCCCTGCAGGGGGTGGGAGAGAAGGGTCTGGGCGGGGTGGGCTGCTGGCTCCACGAAGGAAGGACAGACAGACACAGCCTGGCCTTCTGCCCAGCCGCCTGAATGAACACACAGGCCCTGAACTTCCCCACACCTTTCCCCCCACCCTGACCCCGGTCACGGCATAGCCTCTGCCAGTGTGCAGGTGACCTCAGGGTCGGAGACCCTCATAGGCGGAGCCACGTGGACCGCGAGCCTAGCACCCATGTGCAGCGAGCCGCGGAGTGGGCACTCGGGTCCCTGGGGACCGACCCACTTTGCGGAGCCTGGCCCTACTGCTTTGGTCACCTTGTTGATCTGTGCAATGCGCCCTCTCCCGACTGGTGGACACTGAGGGGCTCAGGGGGCACCGAGGCTCCAGGGCACACAGCCCGCGTGTGCTGCAGGCGGTCTGGCCCCTGTCATCCTGCCCAGCCCCCTGGGTGCCTGGGGAGGGGCTAGGGGCTGCAGTACCGAATTTCTCAGGCTGTCTGACGGCAAGCAGTGTTTTCCAAGTGCTGACTCTCTCTCTTTAGTAGGAGGCCCTTTCCACCCCACAGAGCTCGGGAAGGCTTATCAGGTCCCCTGCTATCCAGCCCAGGGTGGGACAGGCGGGCAGCCCCACAGGAAGCCCGCCCCGGGGCCAGGGGATGGCCGTGTGTCCTGGTGGGAGGCGGGGGTACAAGGAGTGCCCCAAGGCCCTCCCATCTGAAGGACACTTGCACCCACGGACTTGGGTGAAGCCCCACTGCCCCAGCCGGGGAACCCCCTTCCTCAGGCCTGGCACTGCCGGCCCAGTACGTGGCTCCCAACCAGGTTTAGGACCACGGTTTAGGGAGCCTGGTGGAGGAGCAGTGGCTGGCCCCCCATCTCGGTCCGGAGTCCTGCTGTACACGAGAGGTTGGCAGCGATGTCCAGAGGCCGGTATTGGGGTCCTTCCCTCACTGCCCAGCTGATGGGCCGAGCACGGAGTGGGGAGGTTTTGACGATCTGGCCCTGTGGCGGCTGGGGGTTTGCTGGAGGCGCGTCCTGGGGCTCCTTAATTGCCACGTAGACCCTTAACTCAACACGTGCCCCACGTGGTTCGAGCACGTCAGCATGCTGGTCATCATGCTCAACTGCGTGACCCTGGGCATGTTCCGGCCCTGCGAGGACGTCGAGTGCCGCTCGGAGCGCTGCGGCATCCTGGAGGTGGGCGGGGCCTGAGGGGCGGGACCTGGAGGTGGGGGGGGGGGCTGGGGGGGGTAGGAGGGAGGGGTTCGATTTGGGCGGGGCCGGTCACCGGGAGCCCCGGGCCATGTGTGAGGGGCGTAGGCCCCACTCTCAGGCCCCGCTCCTGCAGGCCTTTGACGACTTCATCTTCGCCTTCTTCGCGGTGGAGATGGTCATCAAGATGATCGCCCTGGGGCTGTTTGGGCAGAAGTGCTACCTGGGAGACACGTGGAACAGGCTGGACTTCTTCATCGTCATGGCGGGGTACGGCCCCTCCCCCGAGGGCCAGCCTGGAGCGACCCTGGTGCCTGGTCAGGCCCGTCTGGGAGCAGCCCCTGGGGCCCCCAGGATGAGGGATGGGGAGTTGCACTCAGGCGAGATGGGTCCCGGGGAGTGGCTGGGGGTGGGGTGCCGGGGGCGGGACCTATCCGGGGCTCCCTGTGCCAGCACAGGTGGGACAGACACAGGGTGTCCGGGGCGGCCTGTGAGCAGCGAGGGTCCTCCAGTGATGAGCCGAGGCTGTGGTTTCCCTGCTTCCGGGCAGCCAGGCTGGGCGCACGGCATAGGCAGCATGCCTCCAGCAAGTGCTCGCCTCCTGGCCTCAGCCGGCAGGGTACCCTGGAGAGAGCCGGGTGCCCGCTGGCCTGGCTCTGATCCCCGCTCCCAGCACCTACCCCCACTGAGCATGCCCCTGCTCTGCCCCCAGTATGATGGAGTACTCCTTGGACGGACACAACGTGAGCCTCTCGGCCATCCGAACGGTGCGCGTGCTGCGGCCCCTTCGTGCCATCAACCGTGTGCCCAGTAAGTGACCCCCACCCAGGGCTGGGGTAAGCATGTCCAGACGGCTCTGCTGAGAGCTCCTGAGGCCCCACTGGGCACAAGACGCAGAGACCGTGCCGCCTATCTGGCTGTTGGGTGCTGAGGTCCCAGCCTAGACCATGGTGCAGGCCTCCTGCCGTTTACACGGCAGCTGAGGATTTGCTGCTGCTTTTCGGGGAGGCGGGGGGGCGGGGGGTGACAGAGCAACCCTATACCGAGCCGGGGTGTGATGGGCAGTCAGGCTGAAGAGGGGCCCCGTGTCCCCCAGGGCTGCTGAGTGTCAGGGGCCATTCGAAACCTCAGACTCATCATCCACACAGCGTTTGGGGTCATGTTCTGGAGCCATGCAGGACGTGGTGGCTTCCTTGTCTGGCCCGCCCCAGCGATCCTCCCGTCTGAGCCCTGCCAAGGGGCCTGGTGCTCAGGGAAGCAGGGAGAAGCTTCTGGACAGTCATGTGGGTTTGGAAGTTTGTTTGGAAGGTGGTCTGTGCTGACCGTGGTCATGCCCACATGGGTCTGTGTGGGGGTCTCCATGTCCTCAGAGTTTCCAGTGTTCAGACTGAATTCAGCTGTTAGTTTTCCTGAGGGTACAGCAGGGGCACTCCCCGCGTGACTGTCGAGCATGTGCGCGCATGCATACAGGTGGGTCTCGTGTGCCACCTAGGTGTGCACAGCCTTTCTGGCTGCCTATCCTGGGTCCTGGTGGCTTCAACACCGAAGCCCAGGGGGTCAGGGCTTGTCCTGCGGCTCCTCCAAGAAGTATCCCCCCCCCTAGGATGGGTCACTGTCTCCCCCTGAAGCTGTCAGCTCCGCCAAAGAGCAGGAGGGTGAAGGGTTACGCTGTGGGACTCCTAGGCCTTGCATCTAGCTGCCACTTGGCTCTACCCTCAGGGATCAGACAGGGTTCGGATGCTGTGTGACCTTGGGCAAGTAACTGTACCCTCTGAGCCTTGGTTTACCCAGCTGTGAATGTGGTACTCCTCAGGATGGCTGGGAGGTGAGGTGGTTCTTTGTTCTGCGCCCAGCACCACCACACACTCGCTCCATTCACCTGGGTCCCGTTTCACAGCCCCTTTCACAGCACAGATCACTTTTCAGGCCAAATGCTGCCTTCAGCCTGGTCTCCCTGTGGTGTCAGGCCCTGGTCCCAAACAGGGCGCCTCCCCGACCCCGGACCATGTTCCCCTCACAGCGAGCCCCCAGTGGGCATGTTCCAGGCTGCGTCTCACTCTGGCTGCCTGGGGTCCACTCTGAACCCTGGATCATCTGTGGCCTTGGAGCCAGTTGCACTCTGGTGAGGGTGGTGCTCTCGGGCTTCATCCCTGGTGAATCTTCCTCTCGGCCATTTCTGAAACTGCAGTGCCCCTCCCAGCTGTGATTACTCCTGTAGCCCCAGGGGCTCCTCTGTCACCCAGCAGCCCCTGGGTGCTCTCCAGGGGGCCTTGGCATCTGCCCCTGGCTCTGCCTGCACCCTTAGCCTGGCCCTTGCTTGTTTCTGGAAGTGAGACATGTCCTCCTTGCTGAGGTCTGGGAGCAGGGCAGACCCAGGACCAAGTGAATGGCCAGTGAGGCTGGCTGACCCACTCCCTGGATTAATCTGTGTTCACACACTGCATCGCACCCAGTAATGAGAGCTTCAAAATGCTCTCTCAAAAGCCGCCTCCTGGGACTTCCCTGGTGGTCCAGAGGCTGGGACTTCACCTTCCAATGCAGGGCCTGTGAGTTCGAGCCCAGGTCTGGAAACTCAGATGCCATATGCCTCATGACCAAAAGTCCAGAATGTTAACACAGATGCAGTATTGTAACAAATTCAATAAATACTTTAAAAACGGTCCACATTAACCAAAAAAAACTGTAAAAAAAAAAAGGGGGGGGTGCACACAGCCCCTACCTCCCCTCCAGGGCTCTGCTTCACATGATTCACATAGAGAGTGAGAAGAAACACTGGCCCCCAAACGCAGTACCTGCTTCAAGACCCGGGGCTCCTGCATGCAGGAGGCAGCTGAGAGTCTGAGTTACTGGGGCTCCCCCAGGCTGCTGCTCCCATGACGAGCCTGCGGCTGCGGGACTCCTTAGCTGTCACACTGAGGGCCCACCTAGATGCGGTGTGGTTTGGGCCGACATTCCTGAGGAGCAGGGACCACCTACCCTGAGCCCTTCCAGTCGGTGGCCTTATTTACTGCCCTCCGTGGGGTCTGGCAGAATGTGGAGGGGCCTGGGTCGTGTCCCCCGCAGAGGCACTGATGCCCACTTGTGAATGGCAGAGAGCTCAGGAGGGGCTGGGGCCTCAGGGATGCCCGAGAGGGCTCCGCTGCGCTGACCGGCTGCGTGATGCCTGTAGGCATGCGAATCCTGGTCACGCTGCTGCTGGACACACTGCCCATGCTCGGCAACGTCCTCCTGCTCTGCTTCTTTGTCTTCTTCATCTTCGGCATCGTGGGCGTCCAGCTTTGGGCCGGCCTGCTGCGCAACCGCTGCTTCCTGGACAGCACCTTCGCCAGGTGCGCAGGGCCTGCCCCAACCTGCTCTTCCTGGGCAGGCACTAGCTCTAGCGAACTCAGGTCTGCCTCTTACCTTTTGTTTTGTGTGTGTGTATACCTCTGTGTGTCTGTCTCGCCGTCTCTTCTCCAGGAACAGCAACCTCAGCTTCCTGCGGCCGTACTACCAGCCGGAGGAGGGCGAGGAAAACCCGTTCATCTGCTCCTCTCGCCGGGACAACGGCATGCAGAAGTGCTCGCACATCCCCAGCCGCCGCGAGCTGCGCGTGGAGTGCACCCTGGGCTGGGAGGCCTATGGGCAGCCGCAGGCCGAGGGCGCCGGTGGCACTGGTCACCACACCTGCATCAACTGGAACCAGTACTACAACGTGTGCCGTTCGGGCGACTCCAACCCGCACAACGGGGCCATCAGCTTCGACAATATTGGCTACGCCTGGATCGCCATCTTCCAGGTGGGCGCCGGGTCTCCCCTGTACCGCGCACCCAGCGTGTAGGGCTGGGGGCTGGCGCCAGGCCGGGCTTTCCTACCCCGCCAGCCATGCCACCCTCCCCGGGACAGGCGAGGGGGGCCCACTGCCCTCCCAGGGCCGTCCATGTGTCCAGCCACCTGCAACTCCCCCAGGTGATCACGCTGGAGGGCTGGGTGGACATCATGTACTACGTCATGGACGCCCACTCCTTCTACAACTTCATCTACTTCATCTTGCTCATCATCGTGAGTGTGGGGACGCGGTGGGACATCGCCGTGAGGGGTGGGGTGTTCCTGCATTGTGACAGACCTGTCTCGGATCCTGAGCCCCTCTGTTACTGGCCATGGCCCTGCCCCCAGGATCCATCGAGGGCCTGTGCATCCTGGCCCTCCACAGGGACTGTGACCCCCAAAGGTGGTGCTCAGTTGGTTCGCTCTGTGGCCCTGGGGTCTGAGGCAGGGTCTGCATAGACCAGAGGTGAGCTGAGCCAGGAACCCGCCCCTTGTTATCTCAGACCATAAGCCCAAGCAGAGGCGAGTGTCACCTGCTGACCCTGCCACGAAGGACAGTGCAGCCTTGGGGCGGGGGGAGGCCAGACCCAGGCAGGAGGATCTAGTTGAAGAACATATCTTCAGGAAGAGGGCGTGAACCACACAAATGACAGGAAGGAGTCTCCCCACATGTCCTCCAACTGCCCACAAATAATCCAGGAGCAGCCACTGTGCACCACCCGTTCCAGATGCGGGGGCTCAGCGTCAAGTCAGCAGGGGCCCCGCCCATCCCAGGGCGCCCTGCCGGCCCCTAGATCAGGAAGCACACAGTAGGGCTCATGTATCACTCATCAGAGGCTCGATTGTGGTGTAGAAACCACAGCTGCTGTCCTGGCCTTCTGCTTGACCCGGGATGGTGGATCCCAGTGCTCCCTGCTTCCCCACCTCCCGGGAGCAAATGCCCGGCGAGCTCACGGCTGCCCGCCCACCACAGGTGGGTTCCTTCTTCATGATCAACCTGTGCCTGGTGGTCATCGCCACGCAGTTCTCGGAGACAAAGCAGCGGGAGAACCAGCTGATGCGGGAGCAGCGGGCCCGTTACCTGTCCAACGACAGCACGCTGGCCAGCTTCTCCGAGCCGGGCAGCTGCTACGAGGAGCTCCTCCGGTACGTGGGCCACGTGTGCCGCAAGCTAAAGCGCCGTGGCCTGCGCCTCTACGCCCGCTGGCAGAGCCGCTGGCGCAAGAAGGCGGACCCTGGCAGTGCCGGGCCCGGCCAGGGCTCAGGGCACGGGCCCCCTGACGCCGAATCGGTGCACAGCGTGTACCACGCTGACTGCCACGTGGAGGGGCCGCAGGAGAGGGCCCGCGTGGCGCACACCGCGGGTACCACCACCACCACCACCACCACCACCACTACCACTTCAGCCACGGCAGCCCCCGCCGGCCAGGCCCCGAGCCAGGGGCCGGCGACGCCAGGCTGGTGCGGGCCGGAGTGCCAGCCTCACCCGGGCGCGGGCCCCCTGACGCCGAATCGGTGCACAGCGTGTACCACGCTGACTGCCATGTGGAGGGGCCGCAGGAGAGGGCCCGCGTGGCGCACGCCGCGGCCACTGCTGCCGCTGGGCTCAAGCTGGCCGCGGGGCTGGGAGCCATGAACTACCCCACCATCCTGCCCTCAGCCACGGGCAGTGGCAAAGGCGGCCTCGGGCCCAAGGCGAAGCGGCCTGGTGGCCCCCCGGGAGCTGGGGGGCACAGCCCCCTGAGGCTGAGCAGCCCGGATCCCTGCGAGAAGATCCAGCACCTGGTCGGGGAGCATGGTAAGGATCTCCCCCGGTGGGGAGCAGTGGGGGGGTGGGGCACGGGGCTCCTGGGACGTCCCCACCTATGTGCCCACCCTCGTGAGCCCAGCCTTCTCCTTTGGAATCCTGGACAAGGGAGAGAAAGGGGGCCTGGCAGCCTCAGATGGGAGGAGGTGCCCCCCCACCTCCATCCTGTGTTCTTGAGCAGCTCATGGCTCAGTGGGATGCGAGTGTTTGCCACGGGGAAATGAGAATTCTGAAGCTGGCAAGCCAAAAAGAAGCCCCGGGGCTGTGTCCCATGGCCCCGAGTGGGACGGCCAGTCGTTTCTCAGGAGGAGCACTTGGCCCGCGCTCTTGGTGGGGAGACTGGCTGCGGCGGGCGGAGGGGAAGCCAAGGTCGCGGAGCTCCCAGAGGCCGAGCAGAGAGGAGCCGGGGTGCCCCTCGGTACACTCGGCCCTCCCACCTGGGCCCCCGGCCCGACCCTCCTGGTTCATGCAGGACACTGGGGTCACACCAGGCTGAGGCCTCCCAGGTGGCCTGCACTGGCAGGGGACCTGGGGCAGGGAGGGGTGTGTGTGCCGGGGCCTCCCTATGTGCTCACACTGCCCCAGGCGTCACTGCACGCGCCCGTGCAGCTCTGCACTACCCCCGGGGGGAGCATGGCCCGTGGGGCTCCTGGCCGCGGCGAGTCTAAGCCGCTGGGGGTGCGGAGTCACCTGGGCCCCAGAGACTCAGCGGGGAGGCAGTGCGAAGTGACGATGGCTCAGGGCATCGTGAGCCGGAACGTTCACAGTCACAGCATCCGTTTACTGGAAGTGGCTCACGTCATATTTCTGTGGGTGGTGTGGCTCCTGTGGGGATGAGCCTCCTCCTCTTTTTATCTCTGAGTGAACAGAGAGCAGCTCTGCAGGGCGTATGGGTGTGCAAGTATGTGAGTCTGTGCCTGTGCGTGTGCTCAGCTGTGTGCCCAGGTGTGTATGAGAGTGCCCAGATGGGCACCCGTGCTCAGGTGTATGCAGGCATGCGTGTGCCCAGGTGTGTACAATGTGCTCAGCTGTGTGCCCAAGTGTATATGACTGTGCCCAGGGGTGTGCAAGTGTGCACATGGACACCATTCACCCCACGGCAGCCTCCGTGAGCGCCTGCTTCCTGGGCACCGGCTGAGCAACCTGAGGCTGCCCGCGTTCTTCTCCCCGCAGGACTGGGCCAGGCCCCCAGCCGCCTGTCGGGCCTGAGTGTGCCGTGCCCTCTGCCCAGCCCCCAGGCGGGCACGCTGACCTGTGAGCTGAGCAGCTGCCCGTACTGCACCAGCGCCCTGGAGGACCCTGAGCTGGAGTTCAGACAGGGCGGGCTGGGCCGCATCTGGGCCTCCTTCAGTGGCAAGCTGCGCCGCATCGTGGACAGCAAGTACTTCAACCGGGGCATCATGGTGGCCATCCTCACCAACACGCTGAGCATGGGCGTCGAGTACCACGAGCAGGTGGGCGCCCACACAGACAGCCCTCAGCGTGGTCTTGGGGCACGTCCCTCCTGCCTGTGTCTCCTGCAGGCATTAATCTCTCATGGGCTCCACAGAGGGCTCTCGGGTTGGGGAACAGGCGTGGCGGTGGGGCTGGAGGTCGGCTGTGCGGGCATTCTTATCACTCAGCGGATGCTCCTGCTGCTCGCTGGTGAGCCTCTGCTGAGTGGAGAACAGAGACTGTGGCTCCCGTCCGGAGGTCCTCTGTCTGGGGCAGGGCTCCCAGAGGCAGCAGGGAACCAAGGGCACTCGCCAGGCCATCTGGTGCTTTTCAGGGTGGGACTCCTAGAGCCCAGCTTTCATGGACAGAGCCCCCTGTATGAGCTGGACCTTCGGGCTGGGATGCCCTGGGTGGCCCCAGAGGAGGAATGTGGCGGTGGCACATGGTGCTGGCACATGGCCCCTGCCCTGGACTGGGGCTTCCCCGAGGAGCAGTGGCTGGGCCTGCAGGGAGAGGTCACCCTCTCTGGGGACTGAGGCCAGTTCACTCTTAATGACCAAACTGCCTTCCTCCTTTTCTGCCCTCTGGGCTTTTTAAGTCCCTTAAGCTCTGGTCTTTCATCCTTTAGCAATTCAGGGAAAATGCAAGTGGTGTTAGCCTCCAGCTGGCGTCTGGGAGGTGCCGTCTGTGAGGGTGAGATCCAGGCCAGGGGCAACAGCAGGCTGGGGGATCCCTGGCCCGGAAGAGCCTCTGCACGCACACATGTGCACACACGCACGTACGCAAAGGTGACCTGTGCAGATGTGGGCTTGCGTACAGACACATGGGTGGCCACACATGCACACAACACATGCGGGTACATGCAGACTCATGTGCACACAAGCAGACCACACACTGGCACATACACACCAGCATTTACACTGGCTCAGGCGTGCACTTGCACACATAGGCAGACCAGTGTATCCCCGGTAAGAAAGGGGCCTCTGGGGCCTTCTGCTGACAAGGAAGGGTGTGCGGAGCCACCAGGGCCAGGGCAGCTGCTGGGGGAACCACCGTACTGCCTGCACCCCCGGGTACCCACATGCCCACCTCGGAACAGATGCTCCAGGCTCTGTTCCCAGGGCCTGTGCTATTGGGGTCTGGGAAGTCTCTGGAGCCCTGTTTCTCAGACATGCTGCTGGGAAGGTCAGGCAAGGCCTGGGGGAGCCAGGGACAGTCATGGAGGGGACACCCCTGCGGTCCCTGTTTTCTCTAGACAGCCGATAGGGCTCCTCCTGAGACGTTGCCACAGCTCCTTGACGCAGCCTTACCTGCTCCCAGCTCAGTGGAGTGGTGCCCCACCCTGCCATGACAGGCAGTGGGGGCTGGGGACGGGCCCTGACGACCCCTCTGCCACCCACAGCCTGACGAGCTGACCAACGCCCTGGAGATCAGCAACATCGTGTTCACAAGCATGTTTGCCTTGGAGATGCTGTTGAAGCTGCTGGCCTGCGGCCCACTGGGCTACATCCGGAACCCCTACAACATCTTTGATGGCATCATTGTGGTCATCAGGTGGGTCCCCTCCTCCCAGGAGCCCCTGGGATCTGGGGAAGCTCCCGTGTGCACCACAGCCCCTGCAGACGGCAGAGCCCCCACCACTGGGAAAGGCCCTGCCTTCAGGGTGCAGAGGTGGTGTGTCCTGGGTGGGGGGGGTCATCACCTCTCCTCACAGGCACTGTCAGGTCCACATGGTGGGGTCAGCTGCAGCTCACACAGGAGTTTCTAGAAGCTAGTGGAGCTGCTCCCTGTGGGAACAGAGCAGGTGCTCAGTGGCCCTTCAGCCTTGCAGCCGGCCTCCACTGAGGGCTTAGCCCCCTCAAGGAAGGCCAGCTTGCTGCAGCAAAATCAGCACGGAAAGGACCAGGGCGATCTGGGGAAATTCCCTTCTCCAGGACAAAGCAGGGCCCTTGGGAGTCAAGGGGGCCCCCAGCCTAACCAGAACAGACAAGCCAGGCACGCTGGAAAGGCGCCCAGTCGAGTCTTCAGAGACACCACCACCACCCCTCAGCCCCTCCGACGCCTTGATGCAGCCGAACCTGCTCCCAGTTGGGGTTGAGCGGAGGCCGCGGTGGCTCCTGGGGTGTCGTTCCTGCCTCTGGGAAGAGGGTGTCCCAGAGTCAGGGCGGAAGTAGGCACTTGCCGCCCCGAAAGCCGTTCTAACCCTGCCTGCCCTGCCCCACAGCGTGTGGGAGATCATCGGGCAAGCGGACGGCGGGCTGTCGGTGCTGCGCACCTTCCGGCTGCTGCGGGTGCTCAAGCTGGTGCGCTTCATGCCCGCGCTGCGGCGCCAGCTGGTGGTGCTCATGAAGACCATGGACAACGTGGCCACCTTCTGCATGCTGCTCATGCTTTTCATCTTTATCTTCAGGTGCGCGACAGGCCCTGGCTTGGGGGCCAGGGGGTGCCCTGAGCCTCAAAGTGGAAAATCACTTTTCAATCACTGTGGGTTTTACTAGCATTGATTTGGGTGCCTCCCGTGCCAGGCACCAGCACACAGTGGGGGACGTGGAATTGTGCTCAAAAGAGCCAAGGGCGAAGGGGGTGGAGGAGGGCGGGGCAGGTGGGCTGGGGCTCCTGGACCACTGCTGCTGTGCTGAGCCCAGGGCCGAGGGCCTTGGGGAGGGGGCTGGGGCGGAGGGCGGCCCACATAGGCCAGGTGAGACTGACACCCAGTCCTGGCCGCTGCCTGAAGCCAGAGTGGCCTCCAGTGTTCCCCGCGTTCTTGGCTTTGGTCTTAACATCTATAGAATGGAAACAGCTTGCCCATGGACCCTGGGCAGCCCTGCCCACCAAGCAGCCGGAGCTCTGGGAGGTGCAGAGGAATGGATGGTGGGCGTGGGGTGACCAGGCTGGGTCCCCAGCTCCACACCTGGCCCTCCGCAGCAGTCACTCACTGTACCCCTGCCTGTCCACCCCCCCAGCATCCTTGGCATGCATCTCTTCGGCTGCAAATTCAGCCTGAAAACAGATACCGGAGACACAGTCCCCGACCGAAAGAACTTTGATTCCCTGCTGTGGGCCATTGTCACCGTGTTTCAGGTACAGCTGGGCGGGCCGTCCCCCGCTGTGCACGTGGTCCCGGGGGGGCCACAGCCCTGCTCAGAGCTGGCCAAGACCCCTCTGAGGCCACTGGGGGTGAAGAGCAGTGGCCGAGATGTTGGGGTGGTGGGCCTGGTCGGTCTTGTCCTTCTGGTCCTGAGGCCTGGCAATGTTCCCCAAGCCAGGATTCCGTCCTGGTGCCCCCTTGGCCCCCACCTTGGGCCCACTCTGCCCGCTGCCCCTCCCCCAGATCCTCACCCAGGAGGACTGGAACGTCGTCCTGTACAACGGCATGGCCTCCACGTCCTCCTGGGCCGCCCTGTACTTCGTGGCCCTCATGACCTTTGGCAACTACGTGCTCTTCAACCTGCTGGTGGCCATCCTGGTGGAGGGTTTCCAGGCCGAGGTGAGGGGGAGCTTCCAGGGGAGGTGAAGGGCTTCCAGGGGAGGTAAGGGGGCTTCCAGGGGAGGCGGTGGGAGCCAGGAGTATGAGGCAGACCTCATCCTTGCCTTGCTGGGCTCTTCTGTCCACGCCCACCCCTTGTGGGCCTGGCCTTTCCATTAGGGGTTCCCCTCCCACGGGGAGCCTCACGTGTGCTGTGTGCTTGGCTGGCACAGGGCGATGCCACCAGGTCCGACACAGATGAAGACAAGACATCCACCCACTTGGAGGAAGACTTGGACAAGTTCCGAGACCTCAGGGCTACAGGTGCGTGTGTGGGTGGGGGGGCAGGGGTGGGGTGGAGGGGACACTGCCTCCTGGGTCTGGGCACAGCTGGGTCCTAGGTGGACAGGCTCTCCTTCTGGGAGCCCTGCAGGCTCGAGTGGCCTTCCGTCTCCCCCCTCCCCTAGAGATGAAGATGTATTCGCTGGCGGTGACACCCAACGGGCACCTGGAGGGCCGGGGCAGCCTGCCCCCTCCCCTTATCATGCGCACGGCAGCCACGCCCATGCCCACCCCCAAGAGCTCCCCACACCTGGACGCGGCCCCTGGGCCCCTGGACTCGCGCCGTGGCAGCAGCAGCTCCATGGACCCTCAGCTAGGGGACCAGAAATCTCTGGTAGGGACGGTCCCCTGCCCTGGCCTCGGGGCACCTTCAGGCTCACCCCCCAACACAGCTCCTTAGGCCTTTCCCAGAGATGAGTGAGGGTCCCAAATGTGCCCTCCCCACTCACACCCCAGAAATCCCTCAGGCCTGAGCGCTTTGTTTTCTATAAATGGATCTGGAAAGCGCTTACGGGAGGCATATGAATAAGCAAGTAGAATAGCAGGCCAGAAGTTTATCTTCCAATTTGCGCAATGTAAGATAAAAGCTGGCAGAGCACAGAGTGTACAAGAAGGGAAAACAGAAAAGGATGGCAAAAAGGTGTAAAAGCTGAGTACACGAAACAGGTGACGGAAGCCGGGCGGAGGCTTCTGTGCGTCACGACCAACAGCGCCTTGTGGAGCTGGGGCCCCTGGTCTTTCCAAACAAACCCAGGAAGCACCACCCCAGACAGACACAGCCAGAGCCGGCTCTGTGCACCTCAGAAGGGCCAGGGAGGAGTGGGTGGAGCAGGACAAGCTAACTTGGGTTGGGGGGGTGGGGGGTGAACCTGGAGAAAAGTTCAGGCAAACCATCGAGAGGTGGGGAAATCAAGTGTCAGTCACAGAAAAGCTGCACAGCCAAGCACATCACAGCTAAGCTGCTAGAGCCCCCAGGAGGAGGACGGGGCTGTTGGGCCAGATTGCAGCTCAGCTCCTTCCTGCTGGCCCAGGAAGTGGAAACGGCAAGGGGCAGAGAGCATAGGTGCAGCAAAAGTGAAGTCCCCAGAGCACAGCCCAGTTTCTCTCCTGAGGCAGCTTCTCCTTGAAAGTCCAGAGCCTGCCAACCAGAAACTGATGAGTGGTCCCTCCCCAGATATCCAGGTCAGCCGCTGGGCCGCATCTGAGGATGCCTGGTCTGTAGCTGGTCCCTGGCCCATTGATGACCTTCGCCCACCCTCTGGTCCTCAAGCGGGCGTGCGAGGCCCGCTCAGCGCTCTGACACCTGCTGGTGGTGTCTCCAGCTCACTGCATCACAGGCATCTCACTGACAGCTCAGTGCCACTGGCAGCTCCCCAGCAGGGCTGTCTGCTCCTTAGAGGAGAGGCCCTATTTAGTTTACACATGCATGTTAGTTGCTCAGTCATGTCCGATTCTTTGTGGCCCCACAGACTGTAGCCCACCAGGCTCCTGTGTCCGTGGGATTCTTCAGGCAAGAATACTGGAGTGGGTAGCCATTTCCTTCTCCCAACCAGGGATCTTCCCAACCCAGGGATCAAACCCAGGTCTCCTGCATTGCAAACGGATTCTTTATCATCCGAGCCACCAGGGAAGCTCATTAAAGGAGATGACCCATGTATGAACGTCACCCGTGGGTGTCCGTGGCGATCCCTTTCAGCAGGGAAAGGCCCGTGAGCCAGGTGCCCTGACGCCAGGGTGTTGGGGGCGACTTGGGAGGGGTGTGACCTGCTCATTCCTGCCCCTGCCCCGCAGTCTAGCCTCCGAAGCTCGCCCTGTGCCCCCTGGGGCCCCAACAGTGCCTGGAGCAGCCGGCGCTCCAGCTGGAACAGCCTGGGCCGCGCACCCAGCCTCAAGCGCAGGAGCCAGTGTGGGGAGCGAGAGTCGCTGCTCTCTGGTGAGGGCAGGGGCAGCGGCAGCACGGACGAGGAAGCCGAGGATGGCCGGCCCGGGGCGGGGGCCTCGCCGGGCACACGGGCCACGCCGCTGCGGCGCGCCGAGTCCCTGGACCACCGCAGCACGCTGGACCTGCGGCCCCCACGGCCGGCCACCCTGCTGCCCACCAAGGCCCACGACTGCAACGGACAGGTGCTGGCCCTGCCCAGCGAGTTCTTCCTGCGCATCGACAGCCACAAGGAGGATCCGGCCGAGTTTGACGACGACGTGGAGGACGTGAGTGGGGGTGGGCCTCACGTTGGCCCCTTGCCTCCCCCAGTTGTGGGCGCAGCGTTCATGGGAGGCCCTGGGGGCGGGAAGCAGGACAGGCTGGGCCAGAGCGCATCCCCAGGGAGTTCTGGAGTGGGATTCGTCCCAGGTTCAGCCCCACCTCCGGCTGAGGGCTGGTTCTGGGCTGGAGTCAGCCAGTGAGACCTCCACTGGGGGAGGGGAAGTGCCTTCCCAGCTGGGCACGCTGCTGCCCAGGACTGCTGGGCGCCACCTGGGTGGGGATCTGAGGATGGCCACTCACGGCCCCCCCGGACCCCAGTGTATCTCCCTGGCGCAGCGCCTGGTGGGTGGACAGGGCTGAGCCTGAAGGCGGGAGGGGCCCTGAACACCCCCCTTCCCTCCCCAGAGCTGCTGCTCACGGCTGCAGAAGGTGCTGGAGCCGCACAAGCCAGAGTGCTGCCGGAGCCGCGAGCCCTGGGCCCTGTATCTCTTCTCCCCGCAGAACAGGTGAAGGGTGTGCCTGGGAGAGCTGAGCCCACCCTGGGGGCCCCCTTCGTCCCTACCAGACGTGAGCTCTGTGGACAGAAGCCAGGGCTTGGCCAGGACTGTCCAAAAACCCTCATTCCCGGCCCCCAGGTTCCGTGTCTCCTGCCAAAAGATCATTGCTCACAAGATGTTCGATCACGTCGTCCTCGTCTTCATCTTCCTCAACTGCATCACCATTGCCCTGGAGAGGCCCGACATCGACCCCGGCAGCACCGTGAGGCTCTCTCCTCGCTGCGGGGGAGGGGGGAGGGGGGTGTTCCACGGCCACCACCGGCCCCTCCCATTGTGCTGTCTCCTGCAGGAGCGCGTTTTCCTCAGCGTCTCCAACTACATCTTCACAGCTATCTTCGTGGCGGAGATGATGGTGAAGGTACACCGTGTCCTTGGGGACCCGGGGATCTGTCTGTCTGGCCTTGCGGCCGCGGCCACAGGTGCAGGGCGTAGGTCCACAAGCCTGTCGTCTGCACTCTCCAGGTGGTGGCCCTGGGCCTCGTCTCGGGTGAGCACGCCTACCTGCAGAGCAGCTGGAACATACTGGACGGGGTCCTGGTCCTGGTGTCCCTGGTGGACATCGTCGTGGCCATGGCCTCGGCTGGCGGCGCCAAGATCCTGGGCATCCTGCGTGTGCTGCGCCTGCTGCGGACCCTGCGGCCGCTGAGGTGGATGGGGCCGCGGGGCGGAGCCAAAGGAGCGGGCGGAGGCAGGGGGCGGGGCCGCGGTGGGGCGGGGCCCAGGCAGGAGAGGCAGTGCTGGGCTCCTCCTGGTGGCAGCTCCCTTGGGCGCGCCCGCCCAGCAAGCGCGTTTCTTCTGGCCCTCTTCCAGGGTCATCAGCCGTGCGCCGGGCCTCAAGCTGGTGGTGGAGACTCTGATATCGTCCCTCAGGCCCATCGGGAACATCGTCCTCATCTGCTGTGCCTTCTTCATCATCTTCGGCATCCTCGGGGTGCAGGTGCGTGGCCTGCCTGTCTGAGGGACGGTGGGCAGTGGGCAGCAGCGGCGCAGTCGCCCGGGAGGACCGCGGCCCTAGCAGGCAGGGAGAGGGAGGGCCCATGAGGGGGTGGGGGTTGGCGGGGCAGGGCCCGGCCCTCTGGGTGACCGCTCCTCCCGGTCAGCTCTTCAAGGGGAAGTTTTACTACTGCGAGGGCGCCGACACCAGGAACATTTCCACTAAGGCCGAGTGCAGGGCCGCACACTACCGTTGGGTGCGACGCAAGTACAACTTCGACAACCTGGGCCAGGTGGGCGGGGCTGGGGCGGGGCGGGCGGGCCTGGCGGGTGACTCACCCAGCGCAGCCCTGATCTGGCGGGCGGGAGCCGCAGGGTCTCAGCCGGCGAGTTAGGAGGGTCCGCGGTGAGAGAGCCCGGCAGCGCGTGTGGCCCTGCGGGGCGCGCGCAGCAGGAGGCCGCGCCCAGAGGTGCCCGCCTTGCTCTGGCCTCGCAGGCGCTGATGTCGCTGTTCGTGCTCTCGTCCAAGGACGGCTGGGTGAACATCATGTACGACGGGCTGGATGCCGTGGGCGTGGACCAGCAGGTGCGGCGGGCGGCCCTGCCCCTCCGCGCGGGCCTTCTCCTTTGGTCTCCGCTCATCTCAGGGAGCGCAACGTCCCCCGAGACGAGGCTGCCTTTGGCCTCTGGGGACGTCCGCAGAGGTCCCCGTCGGGGGTCAGCGCCCGTGGGCGGGGCTCAGCGCGTGTGGGCGGGGCCAGTGCCCGTGGGCGGGCCGGCACCCACGCGCTCTCCTGTGCCGCAGCCCGTGCCCAACCACAACCCGTGGATGCTGCTCTACTTCATCTCCTTCCTGCTCATCGTCAGCTTCTTCGTGCTCAACATGTTCGTGGGCGTCGTGGTGGAGAACTTCCACAAGTGCCGGCAGCACCAGGAGGCCGAGGAGGCGCGGCGGCGCGAGGAGAAGCGGCAGCGTCGCCTGGAGAGGAAGCGCAGGAGTAAGGCCCTCCCGGTGGCGGTGGCCGGGACCTGCGCGTCGCCCAGCCCCCATCCACCTGAGCCGCCTTTTCACCTATGGGAGGGTGGCTGGGGGCCGGGACGCTAGCCAGGGGCAGCTCCGAGACCTGGCTGCTGGCGCCAGAACCGGGGTCCGCCTCGCCCCCGGCCCAGGGCTATGGGGACCGCACCCGGGCAGTGGCTCAGCACCCTGGCCCCGGAGCCCCCCGCCTGGCCCCACTCCCCTCGGCCCCAGCCTCTCCAGATGGCTCTGCAAGCTCGCCCTTCGTGTCCTCAGAGAAGGACGGCTGCGGAGGAGGCAGGGGGCCCTTCCCAGGAGGCACAGGGATGAGACCCCAGCCCCCACGCCCACCACTGCAGGGGCAGGCTCACCCCGCTTTTGTGTTTTCACGCCTCGGTGGGGGGAGCAAGCAGAGCCGTTCAAGACAGAGAGAGGGTCTTAGGACACCCCTGCCCAAGCTGGGGAGCAGAGTGGGCTTCTTCCAGGAGGGGTCCTGGCCCCGCCCACCGGCCAGCTCAGACCATCTCCTTGTCTTTCCAGGCACTTTCCCCAACCCAGGTACCTGCCCCCACCTCGCATGCCTCAGTCCCGCTTCTGCCAGCCACTGCATGGGGCTGCAGACTGGCCTGACCTCCGCCCCCTGCCCCTGCCACAGGGAAGGGTGGACAATGCAGGAGGGTGCCAGGCCCCCTGGGGTCCACCGCAGGGTCAGCACGGGATGGCTGCAGGGCACCAGGTGCCAGTGGGAGGAGAAGGGGTTGCTGGCTGGCCTGCCTGGTGATCACGCTGCTGCCTTTGAGCCCGTGTGTGCACGCCCAGCTTGCACGCCTGCCTGCTATGCTGGGACGCCTGCCGGCTGGTCGCCCCACATCCTCAGTGCTGGCCGGGCCTCACTGGCCTCTGGCCCCCTTGGCTGCTGCGCTGAGCTCTCTAGTGACCGCATGCAGACCGAGGAGCATGCGGGCCCCAGGGAGGGGTGGTTCCCATTGGCCCTGCTCTCCCTGGTCCCTGCCCATGAGTGCTGAGGCCAGGGAGGGCCCCTGTGCAGTGGGGGCAGCTGTGCCCCCGGGAGTTACTGCAGGCAGGACGTTTAGCGCAGACAGAGCTGTTGGGAGATGCACCCCCTCCCCTCCCCCAGGTCATGGCCACCAACCTCAGATGGACCGGAGGGCAGGCAGACCCCAGACAGCAGGCACATGGCCACAGGCCTCCTGGAGGACAGGGAGCGGAGGGACTCTGGGCCTGGTGGCCAGAACGCAGCACATGCCCAGCCGGGGAGATGGGGGTATAGAGGGTTGCCCTTCCCTGCTCTGCCTTGAGACTGCCCCTGCCCCCCCAAAAAGCTCCCATCTGCCCCTCCCTTCATCACTGAGGTATCTCTGGACCCTGATGCCAGTCCAGGAGAGTAGACCACACAGGCCCTGGCTTGGGACTTCCTGGCAGGGTGTGGGGTCCAGACAGGGCCCCAGGGCAGGGCCCGAGTGGAGTCTCAGCTTCTGCGCCCACTCCAGGGACCTGCTCTGAGGCTGAGGCCCTCTTGGAGGAGGAGGTCAGTGGGTGACCTGCCCCGAGGCCCACGCGGGAGCCTGGGCCCTCCCCTAGCCCCCCTGACTGTCCAGTCCCTGGGAGGCAGCCCTCTTGTCCCGTCCCACCCACCCACTCACTGCCGCGCTCTCCCCGCAGAGGCCCAGCGCCGGCCCTACTATGCGGACTACTCGCCCACCCGCCGCTCCATCCACACTCTGTGCACCAGCCACTACCTGGACCTCTTCATCACCTTCATCATCGGCGTCAACGTCATCACCATGTCCATGGAGCACTACAACCAGCCCAAGGTGGGGCTCGCTGTCTCGACACACTGGTCCCCCTGCCTCCAGGCCTGCAGCCGGTGGGGGGGGGGGCGGTCGCCGAGGTTGGGGTCCATTGCCAGCCGGGTGGTGCTACCCTGGGAACTGGAGGCCCCAGGTCTGCAACTGTGCCTGAGCCCTCGCCGGGGCTTGTGGGATACGTGGGGGTGTGGCTTGAATAAAGGGCTCTCCTTCCTTTAAAGCCAGTGGACACTCCCAGGGCCACCTGTCCCAAGGGCGTCCTTGACCCCGTGACAGGTTCCATCCAAAACGCTGGCTGGGGGATGTCTCTAAGTCCAGGAAAGGTCAGACTGAGAGGGTGATGCTCTCAGATCCCATCTCCATTATTTCATCAAAGACGGGACGCCCCCTCCTCCCAGAACAGCTGAGAGCCTCTGACTCCATAGCTGAAGCTGAGCCCGTCTGGTGGGCTGGCTCCTGCCCTGAGCTGTGGGTGGGACTGGTCCAGGCAGGGCCGGGAGTCTGAGTTCCCAGCAGCAGGTTCCTCCAACTGAGGGTCGTCCTGAGAATGCTGCAAGGGTCAGGCCAGGCAGTCCTCCCTAAGCCGGCACAGACCTGCATCCAGTAATAGGCCTGTCTGTGGGCGTGCTGGGGTGCCCTGGTCAGCGGAGCAGAGAGGCAGCGGGGCAGGCAGCGCTGCAGGGGTCGAGTGGGAAGGGCTGTTGGGCAGGGAGCCTGACGTTCAGGAGCCTGGTGCTCGCCCGCAGGCTCTGGACGAGGCCCTCAAGTACTGCAATTACGTGTTCACCATCGTCTTTGTCGTGGAGGCCGTGCTGAAGTTGGTGGCCTTTGGGTTCCGGAGGTTCTTTAAGGACAGGTGTGTGGGGCGGAGCAGGTGGGCGCCACAGCCAGAGGCCTGCAGAGGGGATGGTGCTGAGCAGGGGTGCCCTTGGTGACACTAGACATTCCAGGGGATGGGGAAGGGGCTCTGGGTGCTCCAAAGGGCTGGGGGTGCCCGGGAGGAGGCACTGGCCTGTGCTGAGCCATGCCTGCCCACCCACCCAGGTGGAACCAGCTAGACCTGGCCATCGTCCTGCTGTCCATCATGGGCATCACGCTGGAGGAGATAGAGATGAACGCGGCACTGCCCATCAACCCCACCATCATCCGAATCATGCGTGTCCTCCGCATCGCCCGCGGTAGGCCGCCGCCCGCCTGAGCCCCGCGCCATTGGAGGGCCCACCCCCACCTCCTGCCTCACCCGCCCCAGTGGACAGACGGGGGGACGCGTGGTCCGGGTCAGACCAGCCCCACCCCCACTAATGTTTGGCTCCCTGTCCTAGTCCTGAAGCTGCTCAAGATGGCCACGGGCATGCGGGCCCTGCTGGACACGGTGGTCCAGGCACTGCCCCAGGTAGGTCGGCCGCTCGGGGGCCTGGCCTGGGTCTGGCTCCCCTGCCCCCAGGGTGGGCATTACAGACGCCCCCAAGAGGACAAGGCTGCAGGAGGGCCTCGCTCACTGGTCAGGCATCATTCGTTCACGTGGTCTTTCTAGTCTTGAGACAAATGCAATTATCAAGCCCCTCCCTGCCACCTACAGGGGAAGACCAGGGCCCGACCCCCGGGGCAGTTCTGTGCTCGATGGGCATTGCCCCATCTGTGCAGTATTCAGCCCCTGAGCCAGTCCACCTGGGCATCCATGTGTCCATCTGACCATGACTCCAGCCCTCTCAATAAGCCATCCAGCCACCTAGGCTTCTATCCATCCATTCAGACAGTTGTCGGTCCCCCATCTACCAGATGCCCAGCTGTCCATCATCCAGCCCTCCTGGCCACTGTCCACCAGCCCAGCATATATCTATCCACATGGCTGCCTCCCCAGCCGTCCACACCCTGCATCTTCAGCTGGCCTCCACTGGTCCCCAGCAGCCTTTCTCAGCCCCCAGTTACACCCTTAGTGCTCCTGGGTACCTGCCCCCTGTCTATGGGAGCGGCAGGTGGGGCGCGGGGGGCGGGGGAAGCCCAGGCCCCGGCCACCCCCGGTGCGATCCCTCTGGGGGCTGGTGAAGAGGGGGACCAGCCACATCAGAGTCAGGAAGGTGTGGAGGAGGGGCGGCAAATTCCTGGAAGAGCCCCGGGCAGGGGTGGGGCAAGACCTGGCTGCCTGCAGAGCTTCCACCTTCAGCTCCCCGTGGAGACCCTGAGGCTGGAGTCCACCGGAGTCGCTGGGAGGCACTCGGAAGCAGAGGAGCTGGATACAGCCCCCCGGGTGCAGGGCGGGTGTGAGGGCCAAGGAGGGGCCCTGGGCACCAGGCAGCCCTGGGCCACAGGAGCCTCGAGGCCAGGAGGCCTGGAGCAAGCACAGGGCTCAGGGCAGGCCTGGGAACTCGCCGGGCAGGTCGCGGGTGGGGGGCGGGGCGGGCTGAGCCCCCTGACCTCGGTCCGCTTCTCTCCCGTGTAGGTAGGGAACCTCGGCCTGCTTTTCATGCTCCTGTTTTTTATCTATGCTGCCCTGGGAGTGGAGCTGTTCGGGAGGCTCGGTGAGTGCGGCGGCGCGGTGACCCACCCGCCAGACACGCCGGGGAGGCGCAGCTTCACGCATGCGCTCAGGGCGCTGGCCTGGCCTCCAGCCCGTCCCCTGTGGACGCGGCGCACGCAGACGCACTGTGCAGACCCGCGCGCGTGTTCACACCCAGGCCAGGCCAACAGAGCCGCACACGTAAGACTGCACGCGCAAACACGGGTGTGGCGCCAAGTCTCCCCACCCCCAGGGCCGTGCTGCAGGCAGTCCTTTCTATCACCCAGGGTCTCCTCAGACCTCCCCGGCGGCGGCTCGGGCCAGCCGGGGTGGGGGCCTGTGGGGACCTTTCATGGCAGCCCAGGTCTGGGTGTCACTGAACGAGCGCTCAGTGGGTTCCAGGAGCCACCAGTGGGCCTGTGTGGGAGGGGGTCGAGGTGGCTGTCACCTTTGAGGGTCTGCCCAGACCCGGAAGCTGGTGCCCCGACCCTGGGCCTGGCGACTCCCAGGCCTGACCCAGCATCTGGGGCTCTCTGGGGCCAGGGCTGCCCGGTCATTCCGCAGAGCAGGGGACTTCTGGCCACCGCCCTGCACCCTGAGGAGCATGGCTTTCTCCCGGGGGAGGGCAGGCCCATGTATGCCCTGGCCCCGTGGGGCAGGCTGACCCGGTTGCTCCCAGCAGAATGCAGTGAGGACAACCCCTGCGAGGGCCTGAGCAGACACGCCACCTTCTCTAACTTCGGCATGGCCTTCCTCACGCTGTTCCGCGTGTCCACCGGGGACAACTGGAATGGGATCATGAAGGTACGGGCTGGCGCGGTGGGCGGGGCAATGGGAGCCCCCTGAGTGGGGGGCTGCAGGCAGAGGTGGGAGCCTGCCCGCCCCCCTCTGCCCGCAGGACACGCTGCGCGAGTGCGCCCGAGAGGACAAGCACTGCCTCACCTACCTGCCGGCCATCTCGCCCATCTACTTTGTCACCTTCGTGCTGGTGGCCCAGTTCGTGCTGGTCAACGTGGTGGTGGCCGTGCTCATGAAGCACCTGGAGGAGAGCAATAAGGAGGCCCGCGAGGACGCCGAGCTGGACGCGGAGCTCGAGATGGAGATGGCGCAGGGGTCCCCTGCCCGGCCCAGGCCCGCGGCCCCGCAGAGCCCCGGCGCCTCGCCAGACTCCCCCAATGTGCTAGTCGTGCGCAAGGTGTCGGTGTCCAGGATGCTCTCGCTGCCCAACGACAGCTACATGTTCCGGCCCGTGGCGCCTGCGGCAGCCGCTCACCCCAGGTGGGGTGGGGCCAGACGCACCGTGGGAGCGGGGCAGAGGGGCTGGGGCGGGCCCGCTAAGCGTGGATTCGCACTTCTGGCGCTTTCCTGCCGCAGGCCGGGTCATCACCGCCCACTCGCCGCCTGTGGAGCCCTGCGCCTCCCTCCAGGTCCCTTCGACTGTGTCCTCCCCGGCTAGGGGCGGCGACACCCTCTGTGCCCTGCCCCCGCGGGGGGCAGCCCGCTCGCCTAGTGTCAGCCGGCTGCTCTGCAGACAGGTAGGAGTCGTTTTTGGGCCCTCAGCCAAGCCCTGGGATCTCTGTGGGGTTCCCTCCCCATTTGAAGCGTGAGAGATTGGGCGCTGGGCCCTTGGAGTCTGTAATGACCACACCCGGCCACGGGGTCCCACGGCCCCTTAAACAGCAGACTAAGCCCCCAGACCCCCCCGCCCAGAAACCGTGCTGGTGAGCCTGGCTGCAGCCAGAGATCCCCTCCTGCCTGAGCCTTTGGCCCCCCTCCCTTCCCCCTCCCTGCCTGGGGAGCCAAGCTGGTCTAGTATCACAGTCAAGCAGCAGCTACAGCCGGGGTCTGTGCCCCTCGGGGGTTTCCAGGGCCCTGGGCGGGCTCTGCCCACAGAAGCTTGGCCTCCAGTACCCCCTACACGACCAGAATTGGCAAGGGTCCCTCTGCTCCAGTTGCGGGGCAAGTGCGTCCACACCAGCATCTTGAAGCCTCATCTCATCCTGGCCCATAGCCTTGGGGGTCACAAGGTCACCTGGCCTGGAGTGGGGAGGGAGTCCCTCTGGCTGATCTCACCTGACTCCCTGCCTTTGCAGGAGGCCGTCCGCACGGAGTCCCTGGAAGGGCAGGTTGATGGCACTGGGGCCAGCAGCCCATACTGGGGAGAGCCCGGTGGGAAAACCCCCGTGAGGCAGGCATCCCTGGGGCCCTCCATGCGGTCCCCGCCCCGGTCCCCGCGGCCCGCCAGCATCCGCACCCGCAAGCACACTTCCGGACAGCACTGCCTCTCCAGCCGGCTGCCGGCCCCAGGCGGGGAGGAGACCGAGGCCCCAGACCCAGCCGATGAGGAGGTCAGCCATATCACCAGCTCTGCCCGTAGCCCTTCGGCCTCGCCCACTGCCCGTGGGATGGTGGGCGGCGAGCCAGATCTGCACAGGCTCTACAGCGTGGACACCCGGGGCTTCCTGGACCAGCCGGGCCGGGTGGACGAGCAGAGGCGACCCTCGGGGGAGCCGGGCATCGGAGACAGCCGTCCAGAGGCCGGGGAGGCAAAGCCCCGGGCCCTGGAGGCCGAGCTGGCCTTGGGGGCGCGCAGGAAGAAGAAGATGAGCCCCCCCTGCATCTCCATAGAGCCCCCCGCGGAGGACGAGGGTGCAGCCAGGGCCCCTGCGGCAGAGGGTAGCAGCACCACCCTGCGGCGGCGAACCCCATCCTGTGAGGCTGTGCCCCACAGAGACCCCCTGGAGCCCGCAGACGGCGCAGGGCTGGACGCTGCTGCCAAGGGGGAGCGGCGGGGCCAGGCCCCCTGCCGCACAGAACACCTGACTGTCCCGAACTTCGCCTTTGAGCCGCTGGACGTGGGGGGCCCCAGTGGGGACCTGTTCACGGATGGGGGACATGGGGCTGCCCCAGAACCCAGACCCTCCTCGGGCACCACAGCCCCTCCTGAACTCCAGGAGACGGAGCCCCCAGTGCCCTCAGGAGACCCCCCAGAGGAGGGGTGGGGTCTGCACCTCACCGTCCCTGAGAGCCCTCTGAAGAGAGTGTCCCCCCCGGCTGTGCCAGTCCCGGGTGACAGCGTGGATGAGCCCGTGTAGCTCGGGTGCAGTGCCCACAGGCTTTGGCACTGGGTTGGGGTGCGCCCAGCAGTGTGGCGGCCAGGACAGGGCTGTGTGTGGATCCTGGCTCGGGTCCCCCGAGGGCAGAGGAGCCAGAAGGATGTCAGCACAGGGAGAGGGTAGCCCATGCCTTCTGGGCACGTGGAGCAGCGGGAGCCCACAGCCCGAGGCCTCCGTCCTGTCGATTCAGGTTTGGGGTTTCCCAGGGTGCCGAGGTGGTCCCGGGCCGTGTTGGCGGCCTGCTCGGGAGTTCCAGGAACAAGGACCAGAAACTGAACAGGAGGAGGAAGGCAGAGGCCGCCCTGCGGAGCCCGCCCAGCAGAGCCCCATCTTCACGTCCACTTCTTTTTATAGGGAACACGCCTGGGGCCGCTCGCGCCCTCTGGTGGCAGCTTCCTGCCAAAGGCCGCCGTGGCCACGCTTTCCGTCACTCACAGTCTCGAGTTCTCATCCGTGTCTCCACCACTCATTGCTGTCTCATCTCCCCTCCACACCCACTCCCCGCTGTTCCAACCCCTCAGGATTCCAGAGAGCACCTTGACTCTGGTCTCTGGGAAATGACCGGTCGCCAGGGAGTGGGGACCGTGCAATAAGACCCCCACTGCCCGTGGGGCCTGGGTCAAGACTTTGAGCTGATGGCCCCGTCGTTTCACTTTCTTTTATAAATTCAGGTTAAACGTTTGCAATAATCCGATGTGGAAAACTCGGCTTCTCAAGTCAAGGGGAGGTGGGGGGGTGCTGCAAAGCAGAGCGGAATAAATATTAACTTATTTAAGAAACATGTTGGATTTCCACTGCCAGAATTGGCACCCCCCTCCCCCCTGGGAGAGTGGCCAGCCTGTGGCCTTAGCGAGGGCAGACCTGGGTGATGCCACCACCAGCGCCACGGGCTCCACAGAGCTCCCCTGCCCCCTGTAGGTCCTCAGCACTCCCCAGTTCCCCACCACACTCCTTGGCAGATCGCAGATAGAAAGTTCTGCTGGGAAAAAGCCAAGCTCACCTTGGCAGCCAGAACCACATGGTATTGTTCACACACTGAAGTCTGATCCAGGGCTCCTGGCAGGGGTGGGGCGGGGCGGGGCCCCTGTAGAGAGCTTCCCAGCTGGGCCGTCACTTGGGGCTGCAGAGGGTGCTGCCCCGCCTCACCTGCTGTCTCTCTACCTGTGTCCCTGCCTGAAGGCTCTGACCCCAGGCCTGCCCCACGTCCTGCTGGCCTCAACTGCAGCCCCAGTGCAGACCCGCTCCCCCCACGACCCCTTCCCCCTGAGAGCAGGAACAGAGAGGGGCCGGATCATGGTGAGGGGTTGTACCCAGGGCGGGGTTGGCTCCCCGACAGCGTCCAGGCCCTGCTGTCCACTCAGCAAAGCAGGTGACCACGCCAGCAGGACAGCGGCCGCCTCCGGGCTGGTCCAGGTGGTGGGAGGTGCCATCGGGGCTTACGTGGCTGAGGCTGGGACCTATTTGCTCTAACCCGGGTGGGCAGCGAGTCTCCATTATGGGGGGCCCCGGGCTGCAGCCGGCCCCTCCCCCGATCCCCACCTGCCCAGCCCAGCCCAACCCAGAGGCGGTAGGGACTCCTTCTGGTGGAGACTCAAGGAACTGCAGGACTCCAAAGAGCAAGCAGCCCCCCAAGTTGGGAGGAGTGGGTGGGCAGAGGTGGACCTGGGACGCTAGGGTCTGTGACCCTCCTGCCTGTGATGTTGGCCTCAGTCCCCACAAGGAGAAGACGCTGCACCAGGTCAGACCCAGGGCTGCTGCAGTAGGTCTTGCCCCTGGCCCAGGCAGGGGGCCCCACTCTCTGTGCCAAGGACGGGTCATGGGTCAAGGGTTAGAGGACAGGAAGGCGGGACAGTTGACCAGGCCCTGTACAGAAGCAGGGACATGGACCGCAGTCCTCACCCAGCTCACCTGGGAACAGAGGTCCTCCAGGTCACCCTGGGGACAGGGTGGGGATGCCAGGGAGTCCCCATCCTCCGCTGAGAGTCTGGGCTCACCTGGCAGGCCTCCCAGGGACTGCCTGCCGGGCTGGGTAGTCCAGATTGTTAGGACAGGGCCCTGGGGCGGGGACAGGCTATAGGGGAGGCCCTCCCCTCCCTCAGTGACACCCACAGTCAGAGACAGGCAGGACCCCATCTGCTCTCCACGCTCTTTAATGAGTATCAGCAGCCCTGAGCTGGGCGGGGAGGGGGCTGGGGCAGGGTGTGCAGGGCAGGGAGGGGTCAGCTGGGAGGGGGCTCAATGGGGGTGGGCAGCAGGGAGGGAGCCAGGGAAGGTGCAGGAAGGTTGCCTCCGTGGCCGGAAGCAACGGTGTGGGGATGGGGCCGGCTCCTCCGCTGACCAGGATGGTGGCCTGGGGACCAGGCTCAGGGCCCCTGGGGGATGAACTGGTGGATCCAGTCCAGGTAGGAGGTGACTCGGGTGTAGATGCCACCTCCTGCTGTCCCCGGCACACAGCATGTCCTCCCGCACGATGGGGACACTGTCCCCCGTGTACAGGCCAGAGTGATACTTCCTGTCACAGACACTGTTCTCCACGATGGGCACCTTCACCTGCTTCAGGGGGAACGGGGGCGGCAGGCGCCCTGCGGGGAGGGGGTGGAGGGAGGCAGACTTGGGCCAGGGGCTCAGCTCACCCCGTCCCGGATGGCAGGGGTGGGGCGGGACCCGGGAGCCCTGCTGAGACCGCTTCTCAGAGGGTCTGCAGTTCCGCCGACGCGCAGCGGTGAGCGCTTCCCTCCCACTGCGAGGCTGCGAGGCTATGGATTCTCGGCCTCATCTAAGGCCCGTTCAGGGAGGGGAAGGGCCACAGTCCTGGGATTTGCAGAGCAGAAGCCCAGTCTTCCTTCAGCTCCACTGCCTCCAGGATGGGCTAGGTTCTGGGCACCACCCGGCCCTGCCTCTGGGCCAGCCCTGGGCCCAGGACTCAGCTTGCCCTTCTGTGCCGGGGCGCTTGGGCAGCACGCCACCATCTCCGCCGCTCTCGGCCGATCACAGGAGCAGGGTCCTTTTGCAGGACACTGAGCATACAGCACTGGGCAGCTGTTCATGCTGAGTGTTCCCAGCTGTGCTCTGAAGTGGGGGTCAAATGAGCACAAGCCCTTTACACAGGAGCGGAGGTGGTGTGCTGGAGGGCTGCGCAAGCTGCACTCAAGCTCTCCCACACCCCCGCAGGTGTCTGGTCTCCTGTCCATAGGCACAGCACTGAGATGCAAGCTGCCCAGCCCAACATTATCCTTAACTGGACATTTCATGTGTCCGATTTTCCTCTTTCCTCTTAGCGTACCCATGAATACCAACTGCAGCTGTACCCATTTCATGGCAGGGGAAACTGAGGCACAGAGGTGCTGAGGGACCTGCCCGACACCCCGAGAGTTTCGTCTGTCTGTTGGGCTCTCGGCACACAGGCCGCCACCGCCTCTCCTCCCCAGGGTCTCCACACTCTGGCTCCCTGATGGGCAGTGGGGACGCTGGTCCCCAGAGGAAACACCAGAGCCTGGGGCCTGGCCCCGCCCCACCCTGGGGTCCCCAACACTCACTTCCACGGTTCACATCACCCCAGCCAGTCACCCAGCACTGCGTGCCCGGGGGGAAGGTCTCCGACGCAGGGGGCAGCGTGACCGGCTGGACGTGGCAGGAGATGCTCACGGGCTCGTCCAGCTCCAGCAGGGCGATGTCCGCCCCGTTCTCGGTTGTGTAGTAGTTGGGGTGGGGGATGACCCTGCTGATGGAGAGCAGCTGGTCCTGGTAATACAAGTGCTGCTCCCGCAGCTGCACCCTGAGGTATGAGGGGTCGTGGACTTCCCTGGGGACAGAGACGGGCCCCTACTCAGAGCTGAGCCACCCTCGGGACGCCCAGGAGCCTGGGTGGAGCCCCAGCGCACCCCACCCTCAGGCCCCCTGGAGACTCACGGTCCGACGCAGTGGGCCGCAGTCAGCACCCACTGGGGGTGGATCAAGGAGCCCCCGCAGTGGNAGGGTCTGGGGTGTGGGGTCTGGGGTCCAGTGGCGTGGAGCCCTTGATCAGGGGCTCTGTCCAGGCCGGGGGTCTAGGGCCTCAGTGCTCGGCCACCTGCTGCACAGTGACAGCCGATGTCGGGGTCCTGCTGGGGGGCTCACCTTGGCAGGTCCAGACTGCTCTTGCCCAGCCCGCTCTCTCTGCCCCTTTATCCTCACAGACAACCAGAGGGTCAGGGGAGGGGGCGGGTCCTCCGATCCAGGGGAGTCGGGACGGAAGTGGATGACTCAGACCAGAGCGAGTCCGTCTGGTCAGGAAGGGCCCTGCCGCCCCCGTCCACGCCGGCAGACCCGATTCCTCCATGTGGCCCCACATCCATCTCTGGCTGTTATCTGAGAAGTTAACTCTACCATCAGGGGAGCTGTGTTATCTGGGGATCTGAGTGCCATTCGCACGGGACAGGCTGAGGGACATGAAGGCGAGGGGACAGGAGAGGCCAGAGCCACCTTCCCTGGACGCTCCCCCCAAGCCCAGCACCCTGTCCCCTGCCCGCAGGCCAGGGTGAGCCCCATCCGTTTCCACCCACCCTGCCTCCTCACTCTCCCCTGGGCCTGCTGGTCACTGGTCCTGCAGCACATCCGCCCTCCTCAGCTCACGGCCTCCTGACCCCAGCCTGTCCCACCCCACTATCCATGTGGCACCTCCTGGGGCCTCGGGGAGCCCTGCCTTGCCCCCAGCCTGCCGGGATGCCAGCCCAGCTCTGGGGCACTCCTGTCCCTGGCTGGCTCTCTCGCACGTCCTAGGGGTGTACCCAGCTGGATTTCTCAGGTGAGCACACCGCAAAACAGGATGCCCCATCTCAGGCATCCCTCCAGTAGACCCTGGTCACTGATTCTCCTGCCCCCACACTGGGCCTCCTGGGCCCTGGGAGGGGCAGCCTGGGCTCCAGCTCTCCCCACCCCGGTGCCTCCCCCAAGGCCAGTCTCCTAGGTGTGCAGCTCCCATGGGCTCAGAGTGGAGGAGCGCCTCTGTTGTCCTGATCCGTCAGCTGATCAAATGCAGAGCGCGCGCTGTTGGGCCAGGGCTCTGAGCCCGGGGCTGGTGGGGAGGAGACAAGCCTGTGCCCCCCACAGCCTCTGCCCCCCACCACTGTGGATCATCAGGCAGCTCCCCACCCAACCCTGTGCCTCAGCTCCCCCACACCTAAGAGGGGGCCTCTGATCTTGAGCTTCCCAGAGGACCCGCAGCCTATGCGTAGGAGCTGGGCAGGGGGCTGGGGCAGGAAGGAGGGGCAGGAAAGTCCTAGCCCTTCCCAGGGGCCTAATCAGCTCAGTCATCAGACCCTGGCCGGGCAGAGGACGGTTAGGAAGGGGCTGCCCCAGGCCGGGCAGCTGGGGCAGTGCCCATCTGATCTGCGGTGGGGCCCACAGGACCCGCGGACGAGTGGGCACAGAGATGCCAGTCACAGGGCTGAACTGGGCTGCAAACCCTACTCTGTATTTCTTTTCTTTAATGTAATTTGTTAGAACAGGTTTAGATTTACAGAAAACTTTCCAAAGCGGTGTAGACGCACCCATGTGCTCCGGTGACAGTGACACTGAGGCTCCTGGGTGCTCCCAGGGACACAGCTAGGGAATCACACAGGGTCTCAGGCGTGAGCACACACAGGCACACACATGTACACGTGGGCTGACGCATGAGCACATACGCGGGCTCATACCCCCTGTGTCTACACTGAAGCCACCAGCTTTCCCCAACCCCAGCTCCATACCTCTGGGTTTACTGCAAGCCCCTCTCCTATGTCCTGCCTTCTCCGGTGGGTAAAACCCGGTTCTGCCCCTAATCCATCAACTTATTTGGTCAGTGCCCACGTGTCCATTACCCTCCCATCTCCATTAGCCTTGCCTGAACACAAGCCCTTTTGCTCCGGCTGGCACCCTCCTCTCTTTTCTGCAACACTAACCGCTTCTCGAGCGAGCGCCCACCCGACCACCCAGCTCAGAGGAAGGGGCAAGGAGAGGCAGTGGGCAGAGCCCGGGCATCCCTGTAAGAAGGCGCTTCTCGGTAGTACTTAACCTTTGAGCAAGCGTCTACACAAGCTGCTGCCCCTTTAAATCGGTTGGGTGTCGTTTGAGGGGTTGTAAGCCTCCTTCTTTCCCGGCTTTACCTGGCACTTGCAGCACAGATATTCTCAGCAGGTGGGTTACACTTTCGCTTTCTTAACAGTGTCCTTCAGAGCATAAGTTTTCAATCTGGCGAAGGCCAGTTTCTTCTGACTCAGAAACTCAAAACTCTGACTTCAGAAACTCACCAGGTTCTTCTGTTTCTCTTGGTGGTTTTTGAGTCCCCTTGCCTTCCTCCAGGTCAGGATTTCCTGCTGTAGTTGCTCTCCAGTGTTTCACAGTCTTAATGTCTACACTGAGGCCTAGGATCCACTTTGAACAGTTTCTCTGTGAACACCAAGGCTCACCTCTCTTCCCACACAGGACACAGTTGTTGCAGAAACATGTGCTAGGAGGGCCCCCTCTCTGTCTCCTGAAAACAGGGGACTGTGTTTGTGAGTTTCTTTCTGGGCGACTCTCCTAACACNTGCTGCGTGGACGCCTGGCTTTCCTCACAACAGGCAGCGCTGCACCGGAACATAAGGCCCTGCATCTTCCGGATATTCTCCCTCTCCAGACTCTTCACCACGGAGTCCACCGCCTCCTGCACCCGGAGTTGCCGCTGCAGCTCCGCCATGGCGACCCGCGCGCACACAAGATATTTTAAAAATGTATCATATGCTACATTGTGGGGCTTGCCAGGTGGCGCTAGTGGTAAAGAATCTGCCTGCCGATGCAGAACGTAAGAGACGCAGGTCCCATCCCCAGAGGACGGCATGGCAACCCAGTCTAGTATTCTTGCCTGGAGAGTCCCATGGACAGAGGAGCCTGGTGGGCTGTAGTCTGTGGGGTTACAAAGAGTCGGACACGACTGGAGCCACCTAGCAGGCACACACGCATACTACGTTGAGGGAGTAAAGGCATAATCAATACTCAATATTTTAAATTATTGTAAAGAGTAGCATCCTTTGGCTGCTTCACTTTATAGACTGCATTTATGTCATTGCTGGGGTGTGGGGTTTGCCTTAGGGCAGCTCTGGGTTTCCTCGGCAGGGAGGCTTGGAGTCCTTAGGTTCTTCTCTCATTTTGAGGTCTTTGATGAAATGACTGCATGAACCCTTTCGCAGTTGCTGAAAGTTGTTTTTGTTGGCTTTGTAAAGTTGAAGGTGTTTGTGCTTACAGATTGAAGATTTGAACTGTTACACATGCACACACATATACACGCATGCACACACATGTGTGCACTCACATGCGGACATACTTTGACATTAATCCTCTAGGACTGATTTCCACGTTAGGTGAGGTTCCAATACCAGGGAGGCAAGACCACCTTTGCGTTTCCCAGTCTTTTCCTGCCCCGCCAACCTCGGGCCCTGCAGCCCCGCCGAGGCTGGGGAGCCGAGGGGCACTGGGGTCCACCTTGCAGAGCCCCAGAGGTCAGGCACTGCAGCCAGACTCTCAACTTCTGGCTCTGACTTGAAGCCATACACTGGGGGAGGTGCTGAAGCTGCTCATTCTCCCTCTTAGTCGCAAATCATTTTTAATCATAAATGTAGCACGTCCATGTCTCAGCTCCCCCACGCCTAAGAAGGGGCCGCTGACCTCAAGCATCTCAAAGGACCCACAGCCTGCACTTAGGAGCTGGGCAGGGGGCTGGGGCAGGAAGGTGGGCAGGAAAGTCCTGGCCCCTCTCAGGGGCCTAATCAGCTCAGTCATCAGGCCCTGGCCTGACAGAGGACGGTTAGGAAGAGGCTTCCCCAGGCTGGGTAGCTGAGGCTATGCCAATCTGATCTGTGGTGGGGCCCACGGGACCCAGGGACGGTTAGGCACAGAGACACCAGTCACAGGACCTGAGTTGTCTCCATGGGGCTCAGTCTGGGCCTCAAAATGACACCCTCCTGAGAAAGCCCAAAGACTAGAGTCCTGGAGGATAGAGGAGGGGAGACAGTGTGCCCGGCAGAAACCAGGGAGGGCTTCCTGGAGGCAGTGGCACTGGCTCTAATCCCTGCCCATTTGGGGAGAAAATTCTTTGCAGCCAAGATGCTTGGGGTCTGACCTAGCCCTGCTGAGTCGGCCACTTGCTGCCACGTGACAGTGTCCACATGGGGACAAAGGGAGGTGACAGGCCCTTCCTGCCTCCCTGCATAAGGAGGGAGCTCCCCAGGCCACACAGCAGACAGCAGAGATGTGGGCTCTCAGGGCATTTTTCCAGGGATGGCACGCCAAGGGCAGGCCAGCTGTGCAGCTGTGGGAATCCAGGCTCTCTGCCACAGGTTTTAGGTTTGCTGGGGGATGGGGTCCTGGCAGGCTTTTGACAATGATCCTGGACTCCTCCAGTGAGGGGACAGGCCTTCCCAGGCCAGGCCAGGCCGCAGCAGCAGGGCCTGTCCTCCACACAGGCAGCCTCTGAGGCGCGGACAGGAAGCAGGTTTCCACCAGGCAACTCCAGGGCCACAAGACCCCCTCCAGGCCCCTTCCAGCTGTGTCTGCACCCAGAAGCTGGGGCCCTGCCTGCTCCAGCCCCTCTCCAGATAGAGGAAAGTCCCCTCGGACCCTCTTCCTAGCCAGGGCGTGGTCAGAGGGCAGGCAGGAAGAGAGGCTGGGAACGCCTTCCCAGTTGGGCTCCCTGGACCCAGTCTGTACCAAGAGCCACTCAGGGCCACTCCCTCTCTTGCTGCCAGCCAGGACGTGAGGGCCTGGTGCGTGGACACAGGTGCGCTGGGCTTTCTGCTCCCTCCCCGTGGCTGGACAGCGAGACTTGGACCAGAGGTCTAGGGCGTGGGTGACCTGGAGTCACATCACTGCTCACACCCTGCACCCTGATGGTCCAAGCCATTCGGTTTGGGTGGGGAAGTCCCTGCAGTGGAACAAGGCGGGGACCGGCGTTGGGGGCAGGCCTGCTTCCCTCCCACCCAGCGGCGCCTACGCTGGAGGCCTTGGGCTCACTCTGCAGGGGTCCCCGTGCAGAGAAGAGCCAGACTCATGGAGAGACTCGAAAAAAATGAAAAAGTCATTACCTGCCTTTTAAACAAGAGACGCTGCCAGTTACGTAGCCTAGCTTACGCTGGAGGCCTTGGGCTCACTCTGCAGGGGTCCCTGTGCAGAGAAGAGCCAGACTCATGGAGAGACTCGAAAAAAATGAAAAAGTCATTACCTGCCTTTTAAACAAGAGACGCTGCCAGTTACGTAGCCTTCCCAGACCAGGGTGAGCCCCAGGCCACTGCTCTGAGAGCAAACACTATCCACAGCCTGCTCCCCTCCCCCACCAAGGACACCCCCAAACCAGGGGCGCAAGAGCCCCCTGGGGATGTCCGCTTAAGACATGAGGTCCTGCAGCCCCCACCTCCACGACAGTTCAAATGAACTGGCCAAAGGAGCAGGCTACCAAGCATTTGGTGTTGGCGTGAGGGTGCTGGCCGCCCTCAGGCTCCCAGGCCTCCAGGGCCCCCGAGGCCACTCCCAGGGCCCAGCAACCTTGTGCTTCCCTCCTGACCCAGCTCCTTGCCTTAAACAAGTCAAGCCGCCTGCATGCCCTGGCCGTCTCTTGTCTGCTTGCCACATGGGGGTCAGGGTGGAGAGGGGGACAGGCAGGGACAGGCAGGACAGTGAGGCAGAGAAGGGAAGGGCTCCACAGAGACAGGGAACTCAGAAGAGATGACGGGAGAAGGGCAGGCCGTGCCCCGGGGAGTGGTCAGCCCCCGCTCAGTTATCTCAGCAGGAGGACATGGTGCGGATCCAGGGCTGGCAGGCGGAGACTGGCACACACTCCCGGGCGGCTGGCTCAGCACAGCCCCCGCTGAAGCTCACCACTGCCACTTGCACCCAGCGCTGGTCCTAGAGCGGGCAGACCAGGGGGCCTCCAGAGTCACCCTGGAAGACGCAAGAAGAACAGACAGGTCCGGGGTGCGCTTGAGCCGAGGCTGACTTCGGGGAGCACAGGGACCGAGAGGGGCTGGGTGTGGGGCTGGGGAGGGGGCATTCAGGCAAGCTCTCTGGGGCTCCAGGCGGCCAGGCAGCGGCTCCATCCTTGATCTGTCCTGTTGGCAGCCCTGCAGAGCAGCTCTATCTGCCTCTTTTTTGTTTTTTTGAGGCCTCTGAGGCTCAGAGAGATTAAGCAACTTGCTAAAGGTCACACAGCTAGGTTACAGCATCGCTGAGATTCACTCACTTTATTATTATTCCAAGCCTGGATGCTTCCCCTGATGCATGCCACCTCCCTTACAAGTCGCGTGGCCTCTTTGAGCCTGGACTCTGACCCTCTGAGTCTTTGTAGCACCCACTCACCTCCCTACGGCAGCTGGAGCCCGAGTTCTCTGGCTGTTTGTTGTCAGGTTGACTCCAGATTTCATTCTTATAACAAGCATCCTTCGAGATCCGGCTCCACCAGACACCATTCCACCTCGGGGGTGAGACAAAGTCCTCCACCCCGTGGAGCAAAATGGTGATGTGTCTCCCCTGCCCTGAGTCCAGGACCCAGCCTGACTCGCAGGGTCACTTAGGGCAAAAGGGGGCCTGGGGAGCCTGGCTAAGCATGAAACAGGCATGTCACAGACTCCCTGTGAACGGGGCTCTGCTTCCTCACCGCACTGTGCTTAGCAGGAAACAGGCCTGGAGGGGTCCAGTGGCTCCCTGGGCCCCGTGGAGGACTGGGGCAGGAGCACCAACGGGGGGCCTGACCTCGCAGAAGCCCTTCCGGCCCTGGAAGTGGCCAGCACACAGCATCTCCTTGGCGACGGGCTCTGGGAGGGAGAGCCTGCGGCAGCTCTGCGGGCTGACAATGTGTGCGTCCACCTCCTGTAGCCTGCGGGCTCCGGCAGGGCCACTGAGGAGACTGGGCGTCAGGGATGGAGGAGGGGCCCGCGGGGAGTAGGGCCGTGTCCCCCTCAGGGGTGAGCCCTGCCCCGCACGGTGAGGCAGATGCCTGACCCAAGTGGGCAGCGAGGTGAGCTGGAGGTGGGATGAGGCGCTCGGGGACAGGGACGCGCAAGAAGCTGCGAGTGACCCATCACCCCTGCACGCGGCCTGCTCCACCTCGGGGCCGCCCCCTCCGCCCCTGCCCCTCGCCCCTCTCCCATCTTCCTGCCTGACGTCCCCCCAGCCAGTCACCCAGCAGAGCATCCCCAGTGGGAAGGAGGAGCCCGCCAAGGCCAGAGGGATGGGCCTGATGGTTTGGGAGAAGGGCACTGCCGAGCCAGCTTCAGCAGGCATGTTCCCGTTGAAGGAGGGGTGTCGAATGATGCAGAGCACGGCCTCGGAGACAGCCTGGGGGCTGGTGTGCAGGACAGATGCTCCCAGCTGGATGGTCAGGTCCTGCCTGCTCACAGAGCTGTGGGGGAAGCGGGGGACACGATGGGCTGTGAGGACAGAGAGTCTGGTGGCGTCAGCGCCATCGGAACTGGCTTCTGGGGGTGAGGGCCTTGCGCTTGGGGGCTTCATTCAGACCCTCTCTGCTCAGCCCTGGCCCACGGGGCTGGCCACATGTGGGTGGGGACAAGGGCTCCAGGGTCCACTCCAGCTGTGGGGTTATCTTTGTACAGAGCCCTGCATGAGGCGGGGCCTTGCTGCCGGGGGTGGCAGAAAGGACTGGACCCCACTATTCCCAGGCCAGGCAGAGATCGAGGCAAGCGGTGCGGCAGCGGCTGAGGCTGGCGGTGGGCGGCAGACAGGCTCTGTGCCAGGAGCGAGGCAGGCAGCCGGCCGGCCGGAGCTCAGGGGCTCCAGGTGCAGCTAGGGAGGCTGTTCTCTGTGGGGCGGGGGGTGGCAGATGGCCCCCTCCCAGTGTTTGAGGACAGCTGAGCTGAGCCCTCGGGCAGGTAGGACACTGACCTGAGACGGGTCAGGACGGGGTCCCCTGAGGAGAGAGCAGTGTGCAAAAGCTCACACAGGCAGGAATTCTTTTTTTATACATACACTCATTTTTGTTTATGTGGCTGCACTGGCTCCTAGTTGCAGCGTGTGGATCTAGTCCCCTGACCAGGGACAGAACCTGGGGTAACAGGGGCGGAGGCATCGTGCAGCCCCAGCAAGAGGGAAGCGTGACTCACCTGCAGACGTGGTGGGCAGCGGTCAGCACCCACCAGAGGCTGATGAGGCTGCCCCCGAAGACGTGGCGGTCCTGATCTCTCAGGCTGACCTGCCAGGGCCACTGCAGGGGGTGCCCCGGGGCCCCCGATGATGCAGGCCTCTGGGAAGAAGCCACCCGCTGGTCGAGAGGTGGGTGAGAATGGTCACGGTCACGATCACAGTCAGCCCAGCAGCCCCCAACTGGCCCCTCTGCAATAACAGGGCCCAGGGTGGGGCCCGAGGTGGCTCCCCTCCTGACTCTGGCTCTAGACTCCTGCCTGTGACCAACCTTCTGAACCACAAGCAGCTGCTCCCTGAAACTTTCCACGGTGAAGGGCCTGCCCTGTACCTCAGTTTGTGTCACTAAACTTTTCACCTAATTTTAATCAATTCAGACGCAAGTGGCCCCGTGGGTGGTGAGTGGCTCCCAGGCTGAAGACCAGGGAGGCCTCAGTCCCCCTGCTGGGAAGAGAGGAGGGTCTCCTGGGTGCTGTCCTGAGGTTTTGGTGGGAAGGCCTGGGGGTGAGGACGGCTCCACCCTGTTCTGCATCTCTGTCTGCTCCTGAGCTGGCTGAACAGCCTCAGGGAAGGACTTCGAAAGTTATAAAAGCAGCAGACCTGAGGATTCTCACACAGACCCACCAGGCACAGGTGACAGCCTTCAAGCACCGGTGGGTGTGGGGAGAAGGGCTAGGTAAGGACTCTGGGCAGGTCACGTGCACACCACTATCTCTAAAGGGGATAACCAACGCAGACCCCCTGTACAGCACAGGGAACTCCCCTCAACGTTATGTGCCAGCCTGACTGGAAGGAGGGCTTGGAGAAGGACGGATGCATGTGTATGTGTGGCTGAGTCCTCTCAGTGTTCACCTGAAACTGTCACAACGTTGTTAATTGGCTACACCCCAATACAACATGCTTTTTGGTGTTAAAAAAAATAAAATTGGAAAAAAAAAAAAACTGGTGGGCTTGGAAGTGAACCCACACATATCTCCCAGGGTTGGAGCCAGGAAGAAAAACTAGATGATGTGAGGGCCCAGGATGGACCGCAAAGTGAGCTAGATGCTTGTGGCCGGAGCCCTGCCTCCCTGCTGGGGAACACCCAGCCCCGAGGAGCTGCAGCCTGCCCCCAGGGCCGAGGCCTGGGCTCTAGGGCAGCAGGATGCCTGCCTGGGCTCTCACCTCTGTCTCCCAGGAAGGAAGGCACCAGGAGCGCCAGACGGAGCCACCCCTGTGGGCGGAGGCAGGGGGACTGAGCACCAGCACCTGGAAGGGCAGGCACAGCCCCGACCTCTCCCAGGGCCACCGCTCAGAGTGCTGCCCAGGGCCGGGGCGCCGCTGCTCACGACCCCCCGCCGGAAAGACCATGGGTGCTGGAGACCCCAGCCCAGAGACCGCTTCATCCCAGGGATCTGCTGTGGGGCCACAGCACCGCAGTCCCAGGAGGCCTGGGCAGGCTGGGAAGGTGGGGGCCTGCGCCCCTCGCCCTCCTGAGACCCCCTGCCGAAGGCTGGCAGCAGCTCCAGCTGCTCCTGCCCTGGTGCCATCCGACACGGGCTTCGGGAAGCGGGGTCCAGCAGCCGGCAATGGCCAGGATTGATCCTGGGCAAGCCCAGAAACATGCTTCGCTCCCTCCCTGCCAGGCCGGGCTGTAGATAAGAAACGTGCCCCTCACCCCCCTGCCAGCTGCAGCAAGGGCCCTGAGGCATGCTGAGGGGTAATTCAGGAGGATCCCAGGAGTGCAGTGTAGAAATGCATGACCTTAAGGGTCTGCCTGGTCCGGGCGCCAAGCAAACCGGAGGAGGAGGGCACTTTCTGGGAGCACCCGGCCCAGGAGCCGCGTCCCTCCCTCATCTCTGGGCGCCTCTGCCTTCGCTGCCCTGCCCGCACCTGCACCTGCCGTTGTGACCCTTCAGCCAAGAGGACAGTGGGCAAGACGGCAAAGGGGAGGGACCCGTCCCTGGGGCCGGCCGCCTCCCACCCCTGCCAAGGGGGAGAGAGGAGGGGCAGGCTGAGGACCACGTCTGCCAGGGCCCGCGGCTCCTCCGGGGGACCGTGGGACCTGCTCTGGGCACCCCAGGAAAGCTCTCCAACCTCTGCCCCTTCCCTCTGCTTGGGTCTTGCTCCCACTCTGCCCCCACTCCCATCCTGGGGTCCAAGCATCGCCTCCGTTGAGACGGCTCCCTGGTGATTTGCTCACCTACAGGCAGCTGGGACTGGTTCCCACCCAGAGACGGACCCTGCAGGAGCCAGTCCCTCACCTGAGTGGTCCGCAGGGGAGCAAACATCTCCCCAGAGAAGAGACAGTCATGTCACACCCGGGTCACACTCACGTGGCAGCTGGCTAATTCAGAGAAGAGAGCCTGCCTCACAGGAGAAGGGGGTGGGTGGATGGGTGTCCGGGAGTGAGTGTGACACCAAGTCAAAATCATTTGACTTGGATAAACTCCCTTTGGAACCACGCACAGTGCCATGTGGTGAATCCTGGGACAGGTGGACCGAGCTGGGGGCTGTGGCTTCAAGGCAGAGCCGACGCTGAGATCCCTGCTGTTCTCTGCCACGCCAGGGAGGGCACTGGTCCCAGCCCAGCTCTCTGCCCTCAGGGCTCCGGACACCTCCCCGGAGAAGCCACACCATCCTTGTCAGTCCCAGCCCCGGCCCCGGTCAATCCTTGTGGCCTTCAATCGGGTAGAGGCCTGGGGCCCTCTCCCTTGCCCCCCACCAACACCAGCATCTCCCTGCTGCCTCCTCCAGGGTCAGGGGAGCCCTGACACAGAATAGAAGGTCAAGGGCGGGGCCGAAGCAGCGACTCTGGGAAGAAGAGGAGGTCAGGTCTTCTGGGCTGACCTAGGTTGAGGCCAGGGGACAGAGTCAGGGGAAACTCAGGATTTGCTGCTAGGTGCTCCAGGGCGCTAGGTCCCCAGAATGTCACACCGGGCCCAGCCAGAGCCCCAGCTGGGCAACCCTGCAACTCTCACCCTGCAGACGGGAGGCCGCAGGGTCGCCCTGAGGCAGGAGGGGTGGCTGGGGGTGCAGCCACGACAGAGTGGGCAGGACCAGGTGGGTCTCTCGCAACAGGAGACAGGAAACAGATTAGCAAGTGCCCGGCCAGGCACCTGGGAGGGAGGCTTATCACAGAAGGAGCACCAGCATTTGGCGTCCCAGGAAGGGAGGTGTTTCCTTTCCTTAATTCTGACCAATGTGCCCTTTTCTTTAACAGTTAAAGCAGGTGCACAATGTGTGTTTGATGGCCACCAACAGGCTGAGAGTTAAGTTAGCATAAGATCGGAGCTCAATTTTGTATAAGATGGAGCGACTTCCCCAGACCTCAGTAAGTGAATACTTCTTCCACCCTGGGTCAACAGAATGTGTTCCACTTGAGGATTTGGTTGTAAATCCTACAGCATCTTACAAACAACTGTTGGTTCACTTTTTTAAGAGTCAAAGAGTTTAATGATCACTTTTTATTCCCACAGCCTGTCATCAAGACATACAGATCAGCTTGTCCTGCTGACACCTAGGGTGATCACCACTTAGTTCCATTGACCTTGGACCCAATTTCACTGATCAGGCTCCTGTCATTGCTGCTACAAAAACGTGTAGGTCCTCCAATCGGCACAGAATCTAAATGATCAGCTATCTGCCCAGTTTGTTTTTAAGGACTAGGAGTCAGTTGTGTTCAGTTTGAGATCAAGCCACTTAAAACTAATTAGGACCCGAACACTCTACTGGGCCCCAAACTTCATCCTCAGAGCCCTGGGTCCCACAGGGAGAGGGGCAGGATCCACTCTGGACAGACACCTCATTCTGTTCAGGAAAGGCTGGCTCTTCACATGGGTCCTGAGGGGCCGGGCTGCAGGGTCAGCTGGAGGCCGAGCAGTGTGAAGACAGGGACCTGGACACCCCTCCTGCTGGGCCCCCCCAGGGCTCTCTCCACAGACCCCAGGCCCCTTCCTCCTCCAGCGTCACCTGGATGCACCTCCGAACCTCAGAATCCAAGGGGGCCCATGGGACTCATCCCGTAAGAACAGCTGGTGTCATGAGCGATGCCGATGGGGACCCCAATCTCCTGGTGCAGGTGTCAGGTGGGGAGGAGTGGGGAGGGACATGTGGACTGAAGCCAAGGGTCTCAGAGAATCAGGCAACAGATGGCGGTGGTGGGAGGGGGAGAAGCCGAGGACGCCTGCCCTGGAAGGCGGGCCCACACTGCTCCCCTCCGATTGTGCCCAGGGAGCCCGCCCAGAGATTCCCCCACCCCCACCCCGGTCAGGTCAAACACACACACAGCCTGGGAGCAGCTCTGCACAGTTTAATGAGGCTCACATCACAGACAGCTGACTGCCGGCATCTCCCTTCCACACGGTGCCCCCCTCTGGAGCCCCTGCCTGCTCCCCAGGACCACCAGAGGCCCCTGAGCGAAGAAGATTGGGAGTCTCCAGGCCTAGGGCCCTGGGGACAGCGGGATGTACTGGAGGATCCAGGACACATAGCTGGTCACCTGGGTGTACACCCCAGGGAAGTCAGGGAGTGCACACTTGTGGCCCCAGCTGACAACTCCCACCTGGACCCAGGAGCATTTCCAGAGGCACACCAGGGCCCCCCCACCGGAGTCACCCTGCGGGAAAACACCACTCAGTAAACACTTCCCACGCCCCCAGGCAGTGGGGCTGGCGGGCCCCCACTCAGGGGTTGGGGGCAGATTAGAGGGTGAGTCTGGGGTCCCACCTGGCAGAGTCCTGGCCCTCGCTCCCGGCACACAGCATGTCATCTTTGATTGGCTTGGTGGTGTTTGCAACTTTCCGATAGTGTAGGTTACAAACCTGGTTCCCCACGATGGGCACCTCTGCCTCCTGCAGGTGGTAGGGCGGGGGCAGGGGCGCTGCGGGGAGAGGCTGGGTGAGCTCCATGCGGGGGAGGGGCTCCCCTCGGTCTGCAGAAGGCCTGGGGTCCAGACCCAGCGCCCCTGGCATTGGACTCAGTGTCCCCACAGCCATGAATCTGGGGTCTGATCACACGACTCTTAAACGTCTAGATGCCCATCCCCCTGCAGCATGGAGGAACCCTGAGACCTTGGCGGGTTGCCCATGCTCAGTGACCCAGACCTCCTCCCTGATGACCACCTTGTGAGCCCAGACTGAGGGTGTCAGAGCCCAGGACGGCTGGGGCAGAGTCTGACCAGAACTCAGAGTCAGTGGCCCACCCCGAGGTTGTTCCAGAGGTTCCCGTCCATAACCACGCAGGACACCCCTCCCTGGGATCCAAAGGTCTGTGGGGTGAGTCACTCTCCCTGAAGACCCAGCCTCCCCAGTTCCTCATCCTTCGTCTCAAGTCTCCCCAAACCTACAGTGAACTGAGACGCTGCCCCAGCCGGTCACCCAGCACATCTTCCCCTCGGGGACCCTCAGCGAGGCAGGTGGGAGAGAGACCACCTGGACGTGATGGGAAAGGCTCACAGGGGCCTCCAGCCTCAGCAGAGCGATGTCCGCCCCCGCGCCCCCAGCAGAGAGGTTTCGGTCGTAATCGGGGTGTAGGACAATCTTGGACACTTTGGTCGGCTTGTCATGGTCATAGAGTCTCAGCTGCCCGACTGGGACCCTGATGGCAGAAGCCTGCAGGCTTTTCCTGAGGAGAGGGACCGGGAGCCACTCAGAGGAGGCTGGAGACCCCCAGAGTCGGGGAGGGGCCCCTGGACACCCACACACACCTCCCCTAGCCCCCTCTGCTCCCCACCCTCCTTGCAGCCAGCCACAGAGACAGGGGCACAGAATACTCACCGTTGAACACAGTGGGCAGCGGTCAGCACCCACTGGGGGTGAATGAGCGACCCCCCACAACAGTGTATCCACCGGCCAACCGTCCTATTGTAGAACCTCAGGCTCACCTGCCACGGGTAGCTCCTGGCTGAGACATTGCTGACTCTCACGATGCCCACCAGCCCACGTCCTGAGCTGGGGCCTGGGAAGCAAGGTGAGGGGCCATCAGGGACCCAGATGATGACCTTCCCCGGCAAAGCTGTTCAGAAGCAGGGAGGCCCCCGCCCCCGAGATGGGCTGACCCTGGGAGCAGAGACGGGCCCTGGGATCCTCAGGACCCCTCAGGCCACCGCGTGGGGTGTGGACTCACCCGGGGTCACAGGCACAGAGCGCCCCAGGCAGGGGAGGATCATGACCAGCAGCCACAGCATCTGCAGGCGGTCTCAGGGGGCAGCTGGACCCCCAGCAACAGCTTCGGGAAGGGCGGCCTGAGGCTCCCACTGGTCTGGACAGGAGGGTGGCCTCCTCCGAGCTGCTTCCACGTCTCTGCCCCGGGTGCCCCCAGGGCCCCATTTATCCCCCTCACACAGGAAGTGGGCACAGGGTTCTGTGCTGCGGCCAGGTCAGTCCTCTCCCTGTGGGGACCGAGGACTAGGGGCCAGTTCAACTCAGGTTCCTCCAGCAGAGGAAGAAGTGAGGGCCCGGCGCCCCCTGCCCGAGTGGGTCCCGTTGGGAGGGACACTTGGTGGGCAGACAGGTGGAAGGGAGGTGACCGAGGGGCGCTGACCAGCCGCCGCCCCAGGGGGGTCCTGAATCAGAGGCAGGGTGTGAGGCCCTGCTCTTCTGGGTACCAGTCACCCCCGGGACCCAGGGCTGCTCCCCAGCCTGGAGCCCAGCGCCTGGGCTGACGACCCTCCTGACGTCTATCCCAGACCCTGAGGACTCACAGTTACTGATGCCCACGGAGGCTCCGGATCCAGGACAAAGGAGCGTTCCAGCACTGAGTGTGCAGGCCAGGCACCCACAGGAGCGCTGGGGACCCGGGCATCTCCTGGGGTGTGTGGTCTCAGTGCTGCCCTGACCACAGCCTCTGAGGGCAGGACGGGCCTGGCGGTCGGCTCAGGGCCTGTTTGTGCTCAGGTTTGAGGTCAGGAAAGAATCAGAGGAAGAGAGGTGAGGGTTTCCCTGGGCCCCTCCCTGGTCCCAGTTCCCAGCCCCTTGGGAGCTGGCACCCCTCTGCCTGGACCCACTTGTGAGGTGTCTTCTAGGAGAGCCTGGGGTCCAGAGGGACCCCTGTGTGTGGGGAGGTGCGTGCATTTGAGACAAGTCAGCCAGACTCAGGAGAGCTGGAGGTGTTTATCCCAATTCCCCAGGGAGCCCGGGTCCCCTGCATTCCTGTGTTAAAGCCCCGGCTCCCATTCCTCAGGATGTGACTGTATTTGGAGAGGGGGTCATTAGACAAGTCACTGGGGGATGGTCTAATCAACATGGCCAGTGTCCTTAGGAGAAGGACACAGACACACATGGGGAGACCTCGCAGGACCGGGGGAGAAGGTGCCGTGCGCAGGCCGAGGACAGAGGTCCCCGGAGGGCCAGCCTTGCCCCAGCAGGTCTCCACGTCCAGCGCCGGGACAGGGAGGAGACACACTCCCACCAATCTGCTGCCACTTCCTATCAGCCCACGGGGAAGAGGACCAGGGAGGCTGGGGTCATGCTGAGCTGCGGCCTCTCAATGGAGCTGCGATGCTCTGAAGGCTTGGAGCTCCTGTCAATGTTCTGCTCTGTGCAGGGTTCACAGATGGTGCCCATGTCACCCGGGGATGGGGGCCTTCAGAACCAGGCCCCAGGCCCCCGGGGAACGTCGTATCTAAGGCCCGCTGGGCCACCTGTGGCCCCCGCACAGTGTCGCAAGAAGAGATTAGGTGATGGGCCTGTGGGCATTACCCAACCCCTATCTCTGCACCCAGGGCCCCGTCCCAGCCCGGGTTGCCTCACAGCTGAGCCCAGGAGCCCAGGAGCCCCGGGCCTGGGAGAAGGGAGAGGCTGGGCTCTCGCCTGCAGGCTCTTTTCTGCTCACGCAGGTCTTCAGCAGGAAGGGCCGGGGGAGGGCAGCAAGGCCTAGGGTTGGGGGAGTGCTGGGTTCATTTCAGACGTACAGAGCAGTGACTCAGTTACACACATACACACGTATTCTTTTCTGTATTCTTCACTACACATTATTAAAAGACATTGAATATAATTCCCTGTGCTATACAGGAGGTCCTTATTGACTGTCTATACATAGTAAAATGGATCTGTTAATCCCAAACTCATAACTGATCCCTCCCTTCTCTTGTCCTCTGTGGTCACCATAAGTTTGTTTTCCATGTCTGTGAGTGTGTCTGTTTTATAAATAAGTTCATTTGAATCATATTTTAGATTCCACATAAAAGTGATATCATATGGTATTTGTCTTTTTCTAACTTATGTCACTTAGTATGATATCTCTAGATCCATTTGTGTTGCTGCAAATGGCATTATTTTATTCTTTCTCACGCTTGAGTAATATTCCATCATATATACGTACCACATCTTTATCCATTCATCTGTTCATGGACATTTAGTTTGCTTCCAAGTCTTCGCTATTGTATTAGTGCTGCTATGAACATTGGGGTGTATGTATCTTTTCAAATTAGAATTTTGTCTGGACATATGCCCAGGAGTGGGGTTACTAGGTCATATGGTAGCTCTGGGGCTTCCCAGGTGGCTTAGTGGTAAAGAACCCATGTACTGTTGGCAGGAGACACAAGGGATGTAGGTCCAATCCCTGGGTTGGGAAGATACCCTGGACAAGGGCATGGAAACCCACTCCACTATTCTTGCCTGGAGAACCCCATGGACCGAGGAGCCTGGCAGGCTGCAGTCCATGGGGTCGCAAAGAGTAGGACCTGACTGAGTGACCTAGCACACGTGCATGAGGGTAGCTCTGTTTTTAGTTTTTTAAGGAACCTCCATACTGTCTTCCACAGTTGCTGACCAGCTTACATTCCCACCGACTACAGGAGGCTCCCCTTCCCTTCAGAGCCTCCCCAGCAGGCGCTATTGTAGACTTTGTCATGATGGCCATCGACCAGGCGTCTCTGCCCTGAACATGCTGCACACGCTGCCGAGGAGCCCGCCTCCCTGTCTGAAGCCCACAGGCCGCGGTGTTTCCAGTGGCTGACCCTGCGTCTCATGCCCCGTCTGCGGTGACACCAGCATCGCCGCCTCCCACGTCTGCCTGCCTGCCAGGGTGGTGAGAGGGGCCCCCCGACATAGTCATAGTCAAACACTCCCGGTGAGACCAGGGGAGCGCGACCGTCTTCCTCTCCGTCCTCGAGGATGGAGCCCCTCGTCAGCCACACCATCCACAGGTGGAGACTTGTCCAAGCAGAAAGCCTCACGCCTGGTCCTGCCGTCAGGGCGGCTTCACAGCAGGACCAATGTCAGGCAAGTCCACCCACCGACGGCTCCCTAGTCCCTCCGGAGGGATGTCACAGAACCATATGTTCTCCTGACTCCAGAAGAGCGTCAGCAGAGAAGATTCTGAAGCCACAGTGGGGAGTCTCTCCACACCTGTGTCACCAGCCCTTGCCCCCTCCCCACCAGGATTCCCTCCCCTTCCACAGGGAGCCTCCCCTGAATCCTCATCTCAGGGCAGAACTGAAGCCAAAGCAGCAGGCGGCACCCCCAGGGGCGGGCTGGGCAGGTGGAGAGGATCCTGACTGTGTCTAACAGTCTGAGGAGTCACAGCTCATTTGAAAAATCAGCAGTTGTATCAAATGATCCCACAGTAACTGCAGATGCAAGTTGACAGGCAAGTAATCTTTCAGAGTGGTGAAGAAAACAATTTAGAAGCAAGCAAACAGCCGTTTGAGGAAGAGGCCAACACAAGCATATTCTCAGAAACACCACATCCCAGACCTTTGAATCAATTACAGTAAAGCTCAATAAAAGGCAAATGTCCCAAGAGATACACTCAGCAAAGGAAATCAAATCTCATCATCAAGCCCACTATTATCTTTTAAAAAGAGATGCCATCAACGAGAAAGATGAGATAGGCAGCCACAATTACCCAGAATTAACAGTCTAGATGCTGTCCAGATGACAGATTTGGGGGACGTGAGATAGGAGATGAACGGCCGATCAACGTCTTCTCTTATTGGGGTTACACACAGATGTCTGTTCTAGAAGAAAAAGGGGAGAAGGCAGAGAAATGCTGGAACAATGTAAATTAGTAAGTAAAGGAGGTAGAAGCCAGTCTGAGGACATCAGTGATCATATGATGTCAAGGTGACGACGGTGAGCTCACCAGTTTACACAGCAGCACTGAAGGAGGCCATCAGAAATACCCTGGACACAAGCTACTCACGAGAGAAGCGACCGTGGAGAGTGAAGGTCGGCAAAGATACTATAGGCAAACTCCTGCCGAAGGGAAGCACAACCGCAGACAGAACATCAGGGACACGGCGGATCGCATCAAAACTGAAAACCTGTGTTCCTCAAAAAGCACTCCTAAGAAAATGGGGTGAGGAGTCCCAGGGAGAAAATAATTGCAAAGCATAAAATACTTGTATCCAGGACAGATAAAGAATTCCCCAGATACCGTCGTGAGAAACAAAAATGTGTTGAGTCCTGCCCCAAGGCCACAGGTTCAAGGCCTTGTCCCAAGCCCACAGAAGCGGAGCCCAGAGCCAAGGTCACCTCCAAAGCTGACTGAGCCCCTTTGTAACCATTGCCAAAAGCCACCCCGATCATCACCAGCAGATTTCTTCACCCCAAATTAGGCAAAGATGCCCACCCCAGTAGTCACCCTAGAGTGCCCTAAAATAAAAAGTGTTAGTCGCTCATCTGGGTCTGACTCTTTGCGACCCCGTGGACTGCAGCCTGCCAGGCTCCTCTGTCCATGGGGTTCTCCAGGCAAGAACGCCGAGTGGGTTGCCATGTCCTTCTCCAGGGGATCTTCCCGACCCAGGGATCGAACCTGGGTCTCCTTCATTGTAAGCAGATTCTTTACCACCTGAATTTAACCAGTCACCTAGTGCCAACCTTCCAGCAGGAATTTTCTTTGTCCCCATGAAAACTGTTGACTCTCCCTGGCCTGTGAGGAGGTCGGCCTGCTGTGCTCTCAGCACCTGCAGTATCTCTGCTTTTTGTTCTTAATGAGCTCCTTCCCTACTGCAGTACCGTGTGTCTGGAAATTGTCTTCGTATCGGCGGTCGGACTGCCCCAACAAAGCCCAAGTAGAGAAAGCGTTTACAAGAGAAGCTAGGAGGGTGCCAAGGAAGCACATGAAAATGCACAGCAGACTTGAGTCGTTAACAAAATGCAGGTTAAAGCAAGCGCTAACCTGTTAAAACAGCATTTTAAGGCCAGTGACAAAGCCAAGGGCTACAGAGGCTGAGGCAAGACA